TAATCCAAATATGATCAAATTATGTACCCAAGAATATTCGATTAACTTGGTTTTCATTTACATAAACTTTATAAAATGAATTATTTGCATTATAAAAACCGGCAAGAATGAGCTTCATTATGAGGCATAGCACTCCACAAGAGGACCCTATATTATATTATTAAGGCTTGTTTTAGCAATCTACTTAAACAGTTAAAACGTCAAAATGTCATTATCAAAAAGTTAATTTTCTTTGTACTTTTGTTTACATATTTTTTCATATAAAGTCAAAAAATCAACTAAACAACCCAAAGATAAAGAAATATTAGAAAAATTTGAAGATAGAATTCTACACCCTCCGAATTGCCCTTGTGAATTTCAGTGCTACTATTTTCATGTTAGTTAGAACTTGTGACAAGTAAAAGACACACATACTTGCATCCTATAAAGTGGGTAGATTCAATTTATTAGTCAATCACCATTATCATCTTCTTGGGGGGATCACTGTACTCTTCCATCCCCATTGGCATGTCCCTCTCCACGCATTAAAAGAAATCAATCAACTCTAAAGGATGGAAGGAGAAGACTGCCAAAATCCAACCACATATTGGCTCTATCCCTAATGTTTGCTCCATGACAACCTTGAATTGTCATGAGCCACGAGTCACTAGTCAATTTTTTATAGAAAAGTGCATAAAATATTATTCAGTGTTTTTGGTTTAAATTTTTTGAATTAAGTTTTTTGAAAATTAAGTTTTTTAGTTTTCGTGTTTTTTGTTTTTAGTAAATATTTTTAAAATTTTAAACATTTTTTATATTTTTTTAGATACACCTTACTTAGATGTATCTAAAAAGTAAAAAATTTGTAAAAAAATATTTTTAAAAATACATTAAAAAACAAAAAATATACTGAATTCTCATTTATTTATTTTTTTGGTATTTAGTGACTTTTTAAAAGGTTTTTTTCATAATTTTTTTACTTTTTAGGTATATTTAAGTTAGCTATGTCTAAAAAGTAAAAAAAAAATTGCTTAAAATATTAAAAAAATACTAGAAACAAAAAATACGAAAAATAAGAAAGTAAAATTTTCTGAAAAGTATTTTTTGAAAAACCTAACCAAATAGCATTTTAATTGAATCTACAATTCATTACTATATGTTTGGTGTTGTCATTTTGTCAATTTCATAATTTGATTTTTTTTTTTTTAAGGTAGCGTTTGGTTGAATTTTGGAATCATGATTCCAATTAAAAAATTTCAAAACTCATAATCAAACACTTAATTCAAAACACTTTTCAAAATTCAATTTTTTTTCAAAATTCAATTTTTTTATAAAAAAAAATATTAATTTTTTTTTGTTTTTTTAATTTTTTTTAATTTTTTGAAAATATTTTTTTTTAATTTTTTGAAAAAATATTTTTTATTTTATTTTTGAAGATAAATAATTTTTCTTTTTTAATTTTTTCAAAAAAATATTTTGTTATTTTTTTAAGTATTGGCCAAATAATTTGTTATGATTTAGATATATATGGACGATTTAAATTTTTTAAAATTTAAAAATATAAAAAAATAAATATTTAAAATAAAAAAAATAAGAAAATATTTAAAATACAAAATATTTTTTAAATATTTAAAATATTTTTAAAAAATACAATGCAGAAATATAGTAAATACAACACATATTATATAATTAAGAAATTTTTTAAATATTTTAAAAAAATAAACTCAAAACAATTTCAAAATATAATTTAAATTTCAAATTTTTTTTTAAAACTCTTAGTCAAACAAGTTTTTTCGTTTCAAAACTTATTTCAAAAACTCATAACTCAAAACATAACTTTACATACAAATTATGATTTTAAAATTAAACCAAATGGAGCCTTAGTGTGTTTCAAGTTGTTATTTTAATTGAATAGACAGTTGTAAGAAGAAAAAAATGATTAATTGATGTGATATTTTGACTTTTTAACTAAAAAATCACAAATCAAATTAGAGTATTTGAATTTTGTGTATTTTTCAATTTTATTTTTATTTTTATTTTTTGTGTTCTTTACACTAGCTGATAAAAAGGATAAGTCTATTTTTATAGAATTTTCATTCAAAATTCAGCTTGTTTGGAATGTACTATATAAGTATAATTTTTTTAATCTTTTTATTTTTTTAAGTTACATTACCTCTATATTTTACTGCACTTTTTTTTATAAAAAGTTAAAAAATGTACTCTAATTCAATACTAGTTACTGTAGTTTGTATTGATTTCATGTACAATTTTCCTATTTGTACAGTATTACTTGAAGAAAAAAAAAAAAAAAAGTTACAAAAAATGTTTCACCAAAAAAATATGATGTTGGTATTTTTGTAATTAAAGACATCTCAGTTGGTTCAATAATTAACGGTTCCCACAAATTGAATTGACAGTCAAACAGAAAAATTGATTATTTCTCCCTCATTTGTGCTGATTGTCGAGGGAGTTTTATTTATTTATTTTTTATTTTTTTCCGAATAGTGAACTCTTACAGTTGTGATTGTTGGGTTGACCATATAATTGTCTACTTTAATGTAATTAACTGAGAAAAAGAAGTTCAGTGGGTTTGATTTCAATTTTTTTGAATTTAATTTTTTGAAAATTAAATTTTTTATTTTTAGTAAATATTTTTAAAATTTTAAGTAATTTTTTTTTACTTTTTTAGATGTACGTCACTTAAATGTATCTAAATAGTAAAATATTTATGAAAAAATATTTAAAAAAATTAATAAATACACAAAAATATGAAAAATATACTGAATTTTTATTTTTTTCTTTGTCTTTTTTGGTATTTAGTGTATTTTTTAAAGTTTTTTTTCACAAATATTATAATTTTTAAGTGTATTTATGCTAAGTGTGTCTAAAAATTAAAAAAAAAATGCTTAAAATATTAAAATATTCATTAAAAACATTAAAATACGAAAAATAAAAAAAGTAAAATTTTTTAAAAACTGTTTTCTGAAAGCCAAAATCCAACAAAATGATTCAGTGTGTTTGGTTTGAGTTTTTTGAATTAAGTTTTTTGGTTTTCGTATTTTTTTGTTTTTAGTGAATATTTTTAAAATTTTGAATATTTTTTTTTACTTTTTTAGATACACCTTACTTAGATATATCTAAAAAGGAAAAATTTTGTAAAAAAATATTTTTAAAAATTAATAAATACATAAAAATACAAAAAAAATATACTGAATTCTTATTTTTTTTAATATATTTTTGGTATTTAGTGAATTTTTAAAAGGTTTTTTTCAATTTTTTTTACTTTTTAGGTATATTTATGTTAGGTATGTCTAAAAATTAAAAAAATGTGCTCAAAATATTAAAAAAATTCAGTAAAAACAAAAAAACACAAAAATTAAGAAAGTAGAATTTTCTGAAAAGTATTTTTGAAAAATGATAACGAAGCATGGTCATTGATTTTCTTTAGACATTTATCTAAAATGGCACTTCATTTAATTGGAACAACAATATAGATAGTAGGAATGTTCATGGATCGACTTGGCTCGGTTTGATACGAACTAACCTAATCATGATCAGCTCTAAGTTTTGGGACGTAGAACCAAAAAAATTATTCACTAGAACCAATCCAACCCAACCCAATACAGCCCAGATTGATTCGAGTTGAAATCACGATTCCATAATATTAAAAATAAGGGAATCAATCAATAATAAATAATTAAAATAAACAAATTTTTAATATTTAAACATAACACAGACAAAGAGCAAAATATTATCTAATGCAAGCCAATACAAATCAAATCTAATTCAAACTTAAACATAATCAATACAAATTAAATCAACTACGAAAAATTATTAGGTGCAATTAAATTCATTGTAATAGACCAATTAGGTAAATATATGTCAATATAAATAAAATTTTAATATATATAAATAGGTTTAGTTCTCGGTTAGTTCGATTTATGCAATCAAAAAGCTAACAACATCAAAAAGTCAAAGATTTTATTTTCTCTCTACTTTTTGCACATCTTTTCATAAAAAAATCAAAAAGTCATCATAAACATATTAATTTTTTTTTATCATATTTTAGCAAAAAAATTAAAAAATTACTAAAAAAATATGTTCCCAAATGAGACGTCAATCAAGAGCTAACCCAATCCTATTGATTTGATGATTTGAAGACCAATCAATGCACTAAAAAAATCAAATCAACCCCAAACTAACTCAAAAAGATCAATTTGATTCGATTCACCTAATTTGAACACATAAGAGGCAATCAAAATTGAAGGCATGCTTATCAACTTCAAAACTTTTAAGTCAAAGCTCTCAAAGCCCAATTAACAATCCAACAATTTGTTGCTTAAAATTTACACAGGCCACTCCTGGTTTATGGTGGGCTGGCCTCAAAGTCAATTGGATTGGGCTGCATAGGCTTCATTAGGGCCTGTTCGCTGCAAGTTTATCTAAAAGGAAAAATGTTTAGGATTAATTATTGCCCTGTTGTAAGGACTGATGCACCATTTAGTCCCATAAGTATTTGTATAGATTAAAAAGTCTCACAATTATTAATGATTTTTTTTTGTAACAATTTTTTAAATCTATCGCTAAAAAACTAGCAATTAGTGACACTTTTAAAAAAAAAATAACAAATAGAACGTTGTGGTAACAATTAAAAGTGAACAAGATTTTTTTATATGTAGATAGGTATATGTCATGTGGTACTTTCTACTATTATGATTGGTTTTGATAATAGGATTTACTATATTTATATTGAGTGTTTGAGGAACAATAAATGATATATGCATTTGTGATTAATAGAATATAATATCACATGATACCTTATTGACATATAAAAATTTCTTCAAAATGACCTATCTTTTTAATAGGACTTTTTAGTCAGTTTCTCAAATGTTTATTAGGTTTGTTTAGCCTATACTGACCCAAATAGCACATCACACTGCTCCAGCCCATGCCCATTCAACAATAATGACCCATCAAATTTCATGGGCCTAGCCTTTACTACAATACCCATAACCTTTCTCATCTTGGAAGTTTTAGAATATACCCACCACAGAGCACAACTTTGGGCCGTGTTTGGCGTACAAAAATAGATTTTTATTGTATACTTTGAGACCCGAAGTCGGCGTCGGAGTACACGGCACATCTCCGAAATGGGTTCCGCAATGGCACAAACTTCCGATTTTTCGATCCACCGCTTGTTTCCCTTGTAATACGTTGTTTGTCTGAAAAACCTGTTTCTTTGGACGATCATTTTGAGGTATTTTTTTCGAAAGCAACAATCAAACAATGGCCTCTCTGTTTCTTCGCCGGAGACTCTCACCATCTCGTTCTATCCTCAGCGGTACTACTTTCAAAACCCTCATTTTATCTTCCGTGTTTTTCTCTGTAAGTGTAGAGTGTTTGGTTGCCGAGAAAATAAGAGGGAATGGAAAGAAAATGAAGGAAAAGGTATCTAGGTTTGATTGTGTCAATTTTGTTGTTTATTTGTTTCATATTTAAATGGCTGGGCTGTGGTCGTATCTCATATTGATTTGGGTGTGGTTTTCATTTGGCAATTTTATGATCATTATTGCAGTTTTACTCTCATGAGTGTTGTGGGTTATGGGTATAGATAAAAGGGAAATTTTATTTGCATACCACGTAAAATCTTAGTAAACACCATTTATGCCGTTGGGATTAAACTTCCAACAAAAGTCAAATGTTCCGATATAAAATTTCGAACAAAAAGCTGTTAGCTTGGATATAAACTATTGATCTGAATGTATATGGGAACAAATTTGTTTTTCCCGGGAAGATTATGTCCAAACATTTTGACTTTTTTTCAAAAGTTTATATCCAATGACACAAATGGTGGGTCCGGAAATTTTTTGTGGTGTGCTAATAGAATTAACCATAGATTAATAATTGAAGTTACTGTATTATTGTACTTATTTAGACTAATCTTATGCCTGATGCACCTGGAGAATATTTCCAGGTCCAGCTTAGAACAAGTGATTATTTTGTGTTGAAAGTGGAAATTTTGAATTTTGTTGTAGTTGTTATTGTTGTGGTGATATGGTGAATCTAAAATTAAAAGAATGCGATTTGAGACAAGGAGAGGTAGTGTTGGGATATGGGCCCTATGAAGCATGGATAAAATAAAAGGAACCAGGAAAAAAGTGCTTTTGGGTTATTTGGCTGGAGGTACAGTATGATTAGTCAACAATATTTCATGGATTATGAGAGATTTTATGTATTGCTGCAAAGATTGACAGTTTGGCTCATCATTTGTTAAATCACATCATTATGATGATTTGGTCGCTGACAATTCTTTCCCATGCAAGAGTTGCACTAAAATGTATGAGCTAGCCATCATTTGATTAGGTGGTTTCTTCATTGTGTTTTTTACACTTCAAGGAGACTGTATATAGGTTTAAAAGAATTAAAGACTTGTCTCACTGGTCGGCTTGTTTGTAATCAATACATAGTTACATACAAGTAAATAGCTATGACAGGCATTGGAGTTAAATGTCAATGTTAATGGGAAAAACAGCTGAATGTGGTATATACTATCATGAGAAATTATTTCCTCCACTTTTTGAATTTGTTGCAGAATGATGTTCTGTGCTTGTAGCCTTGTACTATAAAGTGGCATGCGCATCATGCACAGTGTTCTTAGGCAATGTTAACAAAAAGAAGTTGGATTGCTTAGTGACTGTGCAATTAAGACATTTATAATTTTTCTTTTTGGCTCTAAGATAATCAAAGTTAATGCAATAAGGTTTAATGACATGAATACCCCTCAACTATCACTGAGTATTACTTCTTGCACTTTCAAAACCATACATATGGACCTTACCAGCTATAAAATTGCGTCATTTTCACCCTCTCTAGAAGGGGGCATTGTTTTTTTTTACTATTCATACATATATAGTTGAGGCCTTTGTTAAAATTCACCCACTATCACCTACCACACTTCACCTACTCTCCACCTACCACTACCACCTACCACACTTCACCTACTCTCCACCTACTCCCAAACACACTCCTATATAATAGGAATCCTTGTTAATTGTAAAATACAACAATCTTGTAAAACATCAATCAATAATACATAAATTCTTACATGGTATCAGAGCAAGGTTAACAACCTAGTCATTCTGCTTCACCGGCGGGCGGCAGTCTCGCCTTGGCCGCCCGCCGGACCTCTACACCTACCTTCACTCAGCAGCCGCAGAAGCCCCACATCTGCCACCGTAAAACACCCTCATCAGTTTAATCATCAACCTCATCTAGCTCCTCAGTCAGCAAGTCGTGCTCCTCCTCCGTAGAAGCACCGTGCCGCCGCTACCAACACACACCATTACTTTGCGGGAGGAGGGTCTCTTCTCTCTCTCATGGTGATGAACACCACCGAAGCCTCGTGGAGCTGCTCCAAAGCAGATGCAGCTTCTTCCCCAGCCGACTCAGCTTCCATCCGAAGGGACTGAATATCTTCGCCTCCGCCGTCCGATCCAAACCCTTCCCCGTCAATCACAAGCACGGGATCTACCTCGTCCTTCCTTCAAAGTCCCTCTCGGCACCTCTTCTTCCTCTCGGCATGCATCTCTCTCTCTACGCAGAAAGAGAGACACAGCAGCACAAAAAGAAACACAGGATTCTTGTTGCTTGATGAAGAACGGTGATTAGAAACTTTGAATCCTTCCACAATAGAAATTGACTTCGAGACTAAGTGAAGCAAGAAATACACTGCCCTTCTTCATAGCTGTGTGAGTTGGCTTCTCCTCTGTGCAGAGGAATAGTAATGCGACTCAAGCTCCTTCAGGCTAGCAGCTGCCTCCTCTCCAATTCTAGCCAACATGTGATCTGTTTTCTCCGCCTGTTGGTTAAATTCATCTATTCTTTGGTCTACATGGTCGTTGAGGGATGCAAAACCAGAAAAGATTGCTGTCTGTTTCAACTCCGACACCAACTTAAGTAATGAGTCAGCTGCCTGAACCATTCTAGCTGCACGCATTTCCATCATGAAAGTTTCCTGTGAATTTCTAACTGGTGGATCATTAACCCTGGCCACATTAAGCAGCAGCTTCCACCAAATTTATTTATATTTGTGGACCCAAACTTTAAACCCTCTTTGTTTTCCTTTCTTTTTCTTTTTCCTATTTACATCCACTTTTGTCCCCCACTTTCTCTCTCTCTTTTTTTACTTTCCAACCCACCGCCCCACATGCACTTTATGATTCCTTATTCCACCCATTTTTTTTATTCCACCCACCAGCGCATGCTTTCCCATTAATACCTTTTTCTTATTATTTTTTTTTTATTATTCTTATTATTCTTCCCACCAAAAAAAAAAAAAAAAAAAAAAAAAAAAAAAAAAAAAAAAAAAAAAAGCACTACAACTCCTAGCCATACACCACCATCTCTGAGCTGAGATTCTTGAAGGTGGTATTTGGGTCATAAAAGCTGGTTTTGGGCTGAAGAAGGTGCTGTTGTTGCAGTGCTTAAAGGGTAACCCCTTTTCCCTTTTTTAAGCTTTGTTTTGGTTACTCTTTGAGCCACCTTTGCATGCTTTTTTTAGCTTAGCTTTCAACTGTAAAAAGCTTTATTTTCCAGTGTTTGAAATGCTTGTTTAAGGCCTCTTAGTGTTGGGGGTGGTATACCCCCTTTTGTGCCTTATTTGGCCTTGTTTTGTGCCATCACTTTAGGCCTTTGAGATCACCTTTGTTTGGCCTTTTTGCCACTGAATTCCAAAGGAATTTCAGTGGTGGAAAGTGTGTTTTCAGGCCCTAAATAGGAGGGGGTCATCCCCTCTCCTCGTGTCTTGGTTGCTTGTGTTGATGGCCTCATGTTTGAGCTTGTTTTTCTAGTAAGTGTTGGCTTGTTTTCAGCCTATTTTTGGCCCTATTTCAGCATGGCATAACTCTGTTTTGGCTTGGATTGGTTACCCCATGCGACTCTGTAAACTGTCCCGACATTGATTCCGGTTAGCTCCTTTATGGGTCTGACAAGACTCTGTAAACTGTCCCGACATTAATTTCGGTTAGTTTTTTTATGGGTCCGACAAGACTCTGTAAACTGTCTCGACATTGATTCCGGTTAGCTCCTTTATGGGTCTGACAAGACTCTGTAAACTGTCCCGACATTGATTCCGGTTAGTTTCTACAAGGGTCCAGCAAGACTCCGTAAACTGTCACAACAACTGTCACAAAACTGTCTTCTACAACGGTCCGACATGACCCCATAAACTGTCTTCTACAACGGTCCGACATGACCCCATAAACTGTCTTCTACATCGATATGACACCACCATACAGTGTCCTCTACAACGTTATGACACCCCCATACAGTGTCCTCTAGAACGTTATGACACCACCATACAGTGTCCTCTACACCGTTATGACACCACCATCCAGTGTCTTCACCAATGGTTTGACACGACCATCCAGTGTCTCCTATTCTCTTTTATTTTTATGTATTTTCTTGTTTTTGTAACTCTCTCCAAACTCAAGTTGGTTAGTTCCTATCCCCCTTGAGTTTGCGGGGGGCTGTTAAAATTCACCCACTATCACCTACCACACTTCACCTACTCTCCACCTACCACTACCACCTACCACACTTCACCTACTCTCCACCTACTCCCAAACACACTCCTATATAATAGGAATCCTTGTTAATTGTAAAATACAACAATCTTGTAAAACATCAATCAATAATACATAAATTCTTACAGCCTTGAGGGGTCTAATATATGGTTTTAAAGTTGAGAGGAGTAAAGTGATCTTCAGTGATAGTTGAAGGGGTGTTTGTGTAAATAACCCATAATTATTTTATAGTTTTATGGATTTAAAGTTTCTGGGTGTTTTTTTATTAGTATAAAAACATGTACTTGATTTATTGTAATATTAGCATCTCTCACATTTTGTTTTCTCCTTTTTATTTATTTTTTTTCCATTTTTATTTTCTTGGCAGATTATAGGGAGTCTGATCGGCTTCCATGGGGATTGAAATTTGGAACCTTAAGGCACTTCAGCAGTTCTGGAGTTGCTACACAAGTTGACTTTACAGACCTTACGTAAGCATATCCAGAATAATGAGTTCTATGAGTTCCTTTCTAGAGTTACATGATGTAATGCCTTTTTTTCAAATATTCTTTGAAGTTTGTTTGCAATCATTTGCTTATTTACTTCTTGGGCTAGTTTTCCACTTGCAAGCATAGCTTTGTTCCTTATTCCTGCATTGCTATTGAAATATGATAATTTTTTAATTAATTACTTTCTTTTATTTAAAAAAAAAAAAATGAAAATCCCTAGTTGGAGTGCTTTTCTGCTTCTTTATTATTTTGTTAGTATTGCTTCTTGGCATTAAAGTCTGATCTGTATATTGCTTCATCTTCCCTGATTTGTTTATATAAACTGTGATGCTGAACTGAAAATTTTCCTGTCAATATTAGTCAGCCTCATACATGGTACCCATGCGCTCGAAGAAAGAGCCGGAATGTTGTTCTACATGTTGGTCCTACAAATAGTGGGAAAACACATCATGCTCTCAAGCAACTGGAGTCAAGTTCTTCTGGTGCATCTTAATTGCTAACTTTTACTTTTTTATTTAGGTTTTAAATTATCACAAGATACAAATTAATTGGTTAAAATTGGATTTTTTTTATCATGGCTACAGGTGTTTATTGTGGGCCGTTAAGACTGTTGGCGTGGGAGGTGGCAAAAAGGTTGAATAAGGCAAAAGTTCCTTGTGATCTAATTACAGGACAAGAAAGAGAGGAAGTTGATGGTGCACAACACAAGGCTGTGACTGTTGAGATGGCTGATGTGACCTCTGACTATGATTGTGCTGTTATTGATGAAATGCAGGTAAGCCAATGCTTTATCAAGAGCATTTTGTTACGATGAATTGTTAGCTTTTATTAGAGTTGAGTTTTTAAGCTTCAATGCTAATGGAGATGCAAAATTAGAGGACTAGAAATAGAAATATATATGCATTGCATATATCACTGTTACTGCTAGGTTCTGAATTGATTTCATTTCATTTGTAGTACAAATCACCATTTCTGACTACTCTTAGCTCTGCCAGTTGAATTTGACTTCTACTGTTGCTTCACCTTCGAGTCATTTGTGACTCCTATTCACTTTAAAACTATGAGCTCAGCACTATCATTATTTCCAAACTACCGCATGCAGGCCAACTTTGGCATGGGTATTAATTTGAAGCTTCTTTTTTTTTCTAATCAATTTTTGAAGTGGGTTAACTCTTAGGACAATTTGTTAACTAGGATGAAGGAGCCAATCATTCCAGATACAACTATAAATCTATGCAAATATATTACATGTGAAGTTTCATTTCGATAAAGATGGGAAAATGTTTATTGCATTAACCACACGGAAAGGATGTGTATTGCCTAACATTAATTAATCATGCTGAACAATGGTGAAGGCGAATCTCTGACCTCCTAGTGAGGCACACAAATTCTGGCCACTGGGCTAGCCCCAGTGGTTAAAGAAGGTAAGTTTCCTTTGTTCCTAAATAGCAAAAAGGTATAAGGAAATGGTTTTGAGCTTGGCTAAAGACTCAGGGTGTGAACAAGACCTTCATCTTTATCAGTGGATGCCTAAGTATTGCCCGGTATATGGTTGATTTTTTCCTTGAATATGCGAGGTGATGGAAATATGCACTCGCTTCATAAAATCATCACTTTTCACTCCACATTTGAACAGCCCATAATACTCAAATTTTTTATATCCTCCACTCTCATTTATGAATTCATTCCCTGACTCAAATCTATCAAAAGGAGAAACTTAAACCTTTGTAAGTTTTCATTTATTCTTGTTATGTAAATTCTATCTATGGTGCCTCTTAAGTTTTTGTAGTTTCTTCTAAAGAAGTTTAAATTTGAACTAGCTAGGAGGGATGTAGGAAGGTCCAGGAAAGATGATCTTGGTAGAATAGATTCATGTGTTTTTCTTCATTATAACATCATTTGGAAAATTCTTGACATTATTAAATTTTTTTTGAGATCTTTCTTTTGTTTTGCTTTTTGAGAAACTAGCTCTACCAAACTATACTTCCATCATTGTCGTGGTTATTATTTTGATGTAATAATCCTTTTTCTTTCTTTCCTGCAGATGTTAGGTTGTAGGACAAGGGGTTTCTCATTTACCCGTGCTATATTAGGAATTTCTGCTAATGAGCTTCACCTTTGTGGGGATGCAGCTGCTGTTCCTCTGATTCAAGAAATACTTAAAGTGACTGGTGATAATGTCAAGGTAATTAAATTGCTCTGAATACATCTGTACATGTGTGTAATGTCTTACAGGCAGCTTGTTCAGTTTGTAGTTTCGTTAGATAAGCCTTTTTTAGTTAGATGGATTACAACATATTCTAGTAACCGATATAATGTTAAATTTGCATCGTGTATGACCTCGTGAAAAAGAGTGTCTATTTGGTTTAAGACTTTGTTATGTGTGAGAGTCTGAGAAGAGTAGAGCTTGTGAAAGTTTATTTCCACTTTCTTTTACGGGCCAAGGTAATCCGGCTAATTATGGGTACTAGTGGTGGTTGTGGCATCGAATTACTTCCCTTCAATCATGTTAAAGTCATGCTTCTTTTTTTGGGAACATGTGAGTGCCTATAGTAACAGTAAGTTAAGAGCAATTTCCCCCCTTTTGTGTTTTTCCTTTTCCTATTGAAAATGTAAAAGCCTGAATTGCATGTGAGGAAAGGAGAAATAGAACCGTACTAGTTTACTGCAATAAAAATGGAGAGGTATCTTTTTTTTTAAGAAGTGCTTTTATTTGTGCCTGGGCAAAACATTGCTCTTCAACGGACCGGGTTCACTTTGCAGCAGCTCTGAGGCACTTTTTTCTATATATAACTGGTGGCATTTTCTTGTTCTCTTTTTCTTTAACTTTATGAGAGGGGTTTGGGGGCTGGAACTCTTTTTCTTTTATTTTGTTTAACAGGGGTTTGTGGGCCGGAACACCTTTTCTTTTATTTATTTATTTTTGTTGGGTGTTTGAAAGGTTATATTTTCAATAAATGAATTTAAGCAATGCTTTGAAGGGTGTTTGTAGACCACCTTAACTTTGTGCTGTCAGTTTTATTTTAATTCTATGGTTTTCATATTATGCTTTTGTTTCCATTCCTTCTAATGTAACTTTTCATATTTTATGCTTTGATTTAGGTTCACCACTATGACAGGCTTTTACCTCTAGTTCCATTGAAGGTTCCTCTTGGATCTTTCTCTAATATAGAGACTGGGGACTGTATTGTAACCTTTTCACGTCGTATGATATACAGATTAAAGGTCAGGAATTATGTCAAGTATTTTTCCTTTTGTCTTGTCATTCTTTTCTCTTCCACATTGCACAAATATGATCACTTATCAGTCCCTAATTTTGTATCACCTTACCTGACTATTTGTTATGTTCAATGTGTGTGTATATGCTGAGTTTATTAAGATGCTGCAACAGTTTCTGTTATGTATATACAGAAATTTGTGGTGGGAAATTTCTGCATACAAATGGCAAGGAATTTATTAATGGAAAGTTTGCTGCCATTTGGATTTGATTTGATTTTGGCATTGCAATGAAACATGTTTGAAATCCTAGAACACTTTAGCTAGATGACCCAGTAATTTTTGGGATAACAATCTGGCTGAACTGACATGAGCTGCATGACATGTTTGACCCAGTTCGGCGGGAATGGCCAAACTGGATTGAACCTTAGATGTTGAAGTATTTGGTGACTTAAGATCTGTCTAAAGGAGCCTCAAATATTTTTGTTTTTATTTTTATTTTTGGTAGAACCAAGAATTGCCTAAGAGTGAACATTTTCATTATTTAGGATCGTTTATCACAACAGCGGGAGAGATTGATGCAGATGTGGCCCATAGGATTAAGGCAGGTTGGTGTAAGTGGAGAAGTGCGTCTGGAGTATTGGGCGATAAACGAATACCCACTAGACTAAAAGGTAAGTTTTATAGAACGGCTATTAGACCAGCTATGTTGTATGGGACGGAGTGTTGGGCAACCAAGAAATAACATGTAGATAAGATGAGTGTGGCTGAGATGAGGATGCTAAGGTGGATGTGTGGTAAGACTAGACAAGACAGGATTAGGAATGAGTGTATTCGGAAATGGGTAGGAGTAGCACCAATAGAAGATAAGTTGAGAGAGAATCGTTTGAGATGGTTTGGTCATATTCAACAGAGACCAACAGAGGCAGTAGTGAAGAGATGTGATGCCGTAACGGTAGATGGAAGTGTTAGGGAACGGGATAGGCCTAGATTAACGTTGACTAGCGTTTTAAATAGAGATATGAATCTACTTAATTTGACTAATGAAATGGCCTTTGATAGGGTCGCGTGGAGAAGAAGGATTCATGTAGCCGACCCCATTTGATGGGACTTAAGGCTTGGTTTGGTTTGGTTTTTGGTAGAAATAAAGGTCCCTTCACCTATGTGAGATTATATGCTCTATCTTTGCCATCAACTTCCTTGAACAATGACTGAAATTTGCATCATAGAGACTGGAAACTGTGTAGTTTTCTGGCATACTGTGCACTTTGATGCAATTTTGCTTAAATTTCATGGATTATTTTAATGGTGCTTTGCATATTCTTTCATGTTGTCAGAAACAAATTGAAAATGGAGGAAAGCATCTTTGTTCTGTTGTTTATGGTTCACTGCCACCTGAAACTCGAACGAGACAGGTATTAATTCCTGCCTTCCTTAAGAATCTCTTGTTTTCCCTTTTGAATTTATGTGTGCTCTTTTTGCACAGCAGTTCTCCTAAATCATATTCTTTGAAAAAAATTCAGTTTGCAACATCTTTTCATGATATGTAAATAATAATAATTTTTACTTAGGTTACTTGTTCTTTTCAGGTCTATCTTTCGTATTAACTATTTCTATCGATTATATTTGCCCTCTCTCTCTTTCTCAGAGAAAATTCCGTTTGGAAAATCCGAAGTATATTTTGGGGTTTGATTTGGCTCCTCGGCCATTGATTTGTATTTATTACATTTGATAAGCACGGTTTAGTTGAGTTGATATGTTATCTAGGATTGCAGGCAACAATGTTCAACGATGCAAGCAGTGAGTTTGATGTTCTGGTAGCAAGTGATGCCATTGGGATGGGTCTCAATCTTAACATTTCTAGAATCATATTTTCAACATTGATGAAATTTGATGGTATGGAACATCGGCAGCTCACTATCCCGGAGATCAAACAGATTGCAGGTATGTCACCATCCATGTGGCTAACTTTCTTAAACAGCTTCAGTTCCAATTACAATGAACATCAACTTCATGATTTTAGTGACTTTATAGAGGAAACTATCAAATTGTACTGTGTTTGCACCGAAAATACTTGTAGCCTAAGAAGAAGAGACACTTCTAAGAAGATGGTGTGTTGTGTTGGACACCAACAGTACACAACACTTGTTGGATACTTCCCAACACCTATTGCACATACATCTAAACATGTACTATTTTTTTTTAAAAAAATTCTAGACTCATATACATTTCAGTAATTTGGAGAACATGTGTCTATTGCTTAGACACATGAAATACAATACAATTCTAAATAAAATAACTTGAAATCCGATGGAAAAAAGAAGAAGAAGAAGAAGAAGAAGAAGAAGAAGTGAATTTATACCTATTCTCCGCCGTTAAAGTTTAAAAATTATTAATTTTCAATTAAATATTCATACATATGATACATAATAATAATTGCTTATCCTTATATGTCACATATATTTGTACAATTAGCTTGTATTACCCTTGTTTTATAATTATCAGAATAAGAAATACATTGCAATATTTAGAGATCTGAACAGAGGAATTATAGATGCTTCATCATACTTCAAAGCAAATCTGGCTTGCTCATAGCCCTCGATTTCTTCAAGCATGAATTGCATGATCATGCATTAGGCCTTCCATATGTCAAGTATGAGTTTATTTGTTGATAAATTGTATGTTTTGGCCATAAAGCAATGACTTGAAAGACATTTTGTTTGTCATTCACCTCATAGTTTCTCATTAGTTAATTCATCGTTTATTGAATGTGACAAATTCTGAGTTCCTCAATATGGGGATTGGACTTGGTGAGAGGCCCATAGGCATTTTTTAAGCTTCCAAAGTGGATATGCTTTATCTAACAAAGCAATAGCCAGCATAGTAGAACCATTATATAAGGGAAGAGAGTTTGTAACTGTACCTTGAGATACAAGTCTTTTTTGTTTTCATAATCAGGAGGTGATTAGTAACATACCTGCCTTTTTGGTTCACTTGTTAAAACATGCTCAAAATAGGTGTTTCACACATGTTTCGCATTCTTGTTGCAATTGATGATTTAATTAAAAAAATTCTCTCATAAGAGTTTTACCTCTTATTGAAGCTTTAAATGGTTCATTGGCTTTGTTTCCAGGGAGAGCAGGCAGGTATGGATCCAAATTTCCATTTGGTGAAGTGACTTGTCTGGATAGAGAAGATCTACCTTTAGTTCATTCGGCATTGGATTCCCCATCTCCCATTATAAAGGTGATTAAGTTAATCCTTAAGCTGTTAAAAAGAATGGCCTGATTATATTTGGTTATTGTTAATCTTGGTATGATTAATTCACTTTTAAACTTTAAAACCAATTCACTGCTACCACTTATAAGTTCTAGATACTAAAATGTGCTTCTTGCAGCATACTTTTTTGTTGCTTCAATTGTTTTCTAAAACAAGGTGCATCTTATAATGCAGCGTGCTGGATTGTTTCCCAACTTTGACCTATTGTACATGTTTTCCCGTTTACATCCAGATAAAAGCCTCCACCAGATATTGGTAGGTTAACATTAGTCTCTCTGTGGTTTAAATGTCTTTATATCTTTCTGTATGTCTTGGGTTGTCTATTTATCACTCTAGCACTTAATGGACGTTTTGGCATGTACCAGGAATTGTTTTAGGCATGCACTTCATTTGGGGCCATTATTTTAAAAACAGTTACAAACACGATGGGTTACCAATAGAAAGGATAGTTTTGATCTTAGTTTGAGGTGGGTGCCACAAGGACAACAAAGAAGGTTGTGGCAGTGTGAAAAGAGATACAACAGCTGATGATATGAATCATCTAATTGTGATTCTAGATAGAACTTAATGGTAAAAAAAAGGTGCAAGTGGATATTTGGGTTTGAGACTTGAGGCTTTATTAAGTTGGGTTGAGTTATGGTTCTGTTTATGTATGTGTCTGGGCATGTCTGCACATGTATGAGTTGATCCTCATGGGTGATTCCAAAGAGTATCGTTGTTAGCTTTTGATGGTGGTCAGCATGTGTCTGTGCTTCTTAATTTTACACATATGGTCTCTTTGAGATTGTGTTTTCTATATCAATAGATACCATTTCTATTTTCGTAATATCGAGAAAAAAATAATTGATTTAAGTATGAGAAACTTGCACAAAAAGAAGTTTGAAATGTCAACTGTCAAATATTTAAGTGATTCTTTATCATTCCAAAATTTGGAATTTTGTTGAATTTCAACTCTCATGCTTTACTTTGATACCATTACTGAACTATTTTTATAAGTTACTAAGAGGGGAGGCAGAGTGCAATTGGTCCTTTACATGAACACCGAAATCTGTTGCGACCCAACTTTCCTTTATACTATTATTTGCTGGCATCTAGTGGCCCTAGCCATGAACTTCCTAGAAGAACATATGCAATTGAGGTGATCGCGATAGGCCAATGACTAATATCACTTTCTTGGCCTTCACCAGCTGGACTGCGCTGGATAGGATGAAGTAGGCAAACGAAGTCCATCTTTTTTTATTTTTGTTGGCACCCTTCCACTTGAAGATCATGATTCATATCCATACTCTTCACATTGGTGGAACACGAAAATTTGGCCCATTAGGAGCGCGCATATTTTACTGCTATAGAACTATTACTGTGCAACTGATTCCTCAGTTCAAACTGCACTACATACCATAATTGGAGCATCTTAGATTATTAGAACTTGAAGGAACTACTATAAATTGTGATTATTTCATTTGCTTTCAGTTTTATCCTTTTCTATTGTCCTATAATATCGGAGTCCTGTTATTATTATTCCCTCTTATTTGTTCCCAGGAGCATTTTGCGGAGAATGCCAAATTATCTGCAAACTATTTTATTGCTAATTGTGAAGATATGTTGGTATGTTTTATATTTTTTTCTTTCTTTGCTTCTTCATGAAGTTTTCTTTGTTTAACTAATGAGACAGTTTATCGTTTTAATGCTTTCTTTCTTCTTGTCACCTTTGTTTGCATTACATATTTTTATTGACAGAAAGTTGCTGCTATAATCGATGAGTTGCCCCTCGGTTTGCATGATAAGTTCCTTTTCTGCATTAGGTAACATCTTTATTTCTCATTTGGGAGTTTCCAACTTTATATTAACTTGGCATTGTTTTCATACTTCCTTTGAAGATCTTCCAGAGCACTTTTAGATTTTAGTGTGTTATTTTTTTTTATTCACCCAAAAATATTCACCCAAAAAAAGTGTGTTATTTTTTTTCTCTGTTTTTTTTTTTTTTTTTTTTTCTGTATTTTTTTTTGGGCAGTCTTATGTTTTGTATTCTCCACTTTGATGGGATTCTGACTTTTGCTCATAGGGGCCTGTCTCTATGTTGTCCCCCCCCCTCCTAAAAAAAAAAAAAACCTTAGGGATCCCTTCCCTTTTTTTCCCCTCCACATATCCCCTTCATAAATCCAAGATCCAACCACGACATAAGGAGAAAGAAAGTTAGGGGATTCCATGTTAGATATCGGTGTTGCTTTATCAATTTGCGATCCTCTTATAAGCATAGATTGGAGAATTCAGGTAATTATATGCTAAATCTTGGGGATTCTTGTGCATATAGTTGTCTTGTTTTGAGCTTGAATATTTAGTTGATTTTTCTTCCCGAATACTATCTGTGTTATAGCTCATTTAGCACAAGGCATGCCAATAAGATCCATTCTTTATCATACTAAATGAAATAAAGAATGGCTCAGTGGGATGCTACATTACATATATGAATTAAATTAATATATTATTATAGTTTTTATTTATGCTTATTGTTGCATTTTTATTAATAAGCTTATTATAAGGTGATGTTATCATTATTGTTGTTCATAAGCCAATACCCCTCCGCACTACTACTGATTGGTGTGGTTTGTTGTATCTTTCTGAAATTTTTGGTACTTGGCAGCATGGGGTAAGTTATGATATGCAGAAGTTGCTGTCAAAATTGAGTGCAAAATGATTATCTAATATATATATATATATATTAACAACAGAAAATATGTAATGCACCAAATTTGCTGGATTTTCATTGATGACTTGCAAGTTGGTTTAGTTTTATATTAGTTTCCCTAAGTTGTCAGACATTAATTCATTATTATTTGTCATTTGTAGTCCGGTTGATGTGAATGATGAGATTTCGTTTCAGGGTCTCACCCAGGTAAAATTTATTTCTGGTTCTTGTATGTTTCTAGATGCTTGTTTTGGGTGATGTAATTAGAACAACGAACATGCTGTGGTGGTCAGTTCGCACAAAATTACGCAAAAAATGGCATCGTCCGGCTTCGAGAAATATTTACACCAGGGACACTTCAGGTGCCAAAAACACCAACAGCCCTGCAGGAACTTGAATCCATACACAAGGTAAGTTTTTTTTTTTTTTTTTGAGGGTTTGAGAAGCTCAATATGCTGCCTGTTATGCTTCTCTTTTCAATTAGCAATGAGGTTACTTTTCTGAATTTCAATTATTAAGTTTCTACTTCTCATTGATAGAACTTATAGCAAGTTTTATTCAGCTAATAGTAAAAAAACACTTGGGGTGCATTTGAATGTCCACTTGAATTTTAATAATGGCCGATTTTCACTTTTAATGGCATTTAAAGTATTTTTTTCAACTAAAATAAAATGCACTTTTTAAAGAAATATAGCATTTATTCCGTATTTCTGATGTGTGTTCTCTTTCTTTGTTATCATCTTTTTCTTCTTGTCCTCCTTTCTCTCATAATAGATTTCCTTAAAATATAGAAATTTGTAATACCGCATGTAAGATGATTGCAACTTTGGCTAGTGGATTTATTCAAGATGATAGATTCTACCTTTGAAATGCCAATGAGTAGATTCAGTTTCTGTGGGAGATGAGAAATGTTGTTAGGGTTCAGATTTCAGAGATGTTAAGGGTTAGCATCATTTTAATTTTAGTTAGTTGACAGTGATGACTATTGAAGTGGGCACAGAGACATTGATTAAAATCACTTAGAAAATATGAAGAAGAAGAACTCCGAAAATATGAGGAAGAAGGAATATATTTCTGTTATATTCAAAACTTCTTATCTTACAATTGTGACCAGCGGAGAAAATTATCACCATTTTGGCGGATGGTGGTGATTTGGACAGAGTGAGAGTTGGACGTTTTCACCGGAATGGCAGGGGCAGGGGTTGAAGTGGTTCCGGACGTGACTTCCGACATGTCTATGACGGTTTTAGGGCTGCTGTGTTTTTTGTTGCTCTGATACCAACTTAGAAAATCTTTAAAATTTCTTACAAATCCTTGCCTCAACATGGTGTGTTTATTGAATCAGAAAAATCAAATGAAAGGGTTCCTAGAGAGATGATAATGTTATTGATGTAATTGAAGACATGCACAATAGAACTGTGACTAGGGTGAGAATTATAGGGGGGGAGAAATAAGAGTCAATTTCAATAGATTTAAGCCCTTCCCTCCCTTTCTTCATTAATTATAAATGAACTTACTAGTTACATTGCATTTAAGAGGATATTCCCTAGTGTATGTTACTTACCGACATTATAGTTTTATTTGCCAAAAGGAAAGGAGTAAACTTTAAATTCAAATTGTGGAAAGATATTTTAGAATACAGAGGGTTTATGTTAAATAGGACTAAAACAGAATATATGAAGTGTAACTTTAGCCAAACTAATCTTGATGGACAAGAGATACCTTTGGATCAATTGTGTCTTGATTTGTGCTTGAAGATAACTTTAAGAAGAATTCATCGAGTTGACCACACTGTTATTTAGTTGGTGTCTCTCTGTTTTCTTGCACGTGGCTCATAACTGCTTTGTCAAAATTTTAGTTTCATTGAAAATGGTTCCAGTCCATTGTAGAGTTTTCATGTTCGTCTACTTTTCAAGATTTGCTTCTAAATCTTTTGTTCTATTTTGGTATTGTGCTGAAGGTTTTAGATCTGTATGTTTGGTTGAGTTTTCGATTGGAAGATTCATTCCCGGACCGTGAGCTGGCATCTTCGCAGAAAGCACTCTGCAGCATGTGAGTAAAGTTAGTCCTCCTGGGTGGTATGTTCAATTCCATTTGGCTCGATACCTATCGCACAATTTCTTTCTTTGTTTGTCAGGTTGATTGAGGAATTTCTGGAAAGATTCGGGTGGCAGAAGCCAAACGCAAGAATATTAGCACGTCGTACAAGCTTAAGCTCAATATTTGCCCCAGATGTCCGGCAACATGTGAAATTTCTCAAAAATATCTAAGAAATGTTTATTCCACTGTTTGCGCTCCATTTGCTGCAGCTGCTCTTGCATTTGGGAGTACTGCTCTTGAGTCATTTATTTCGTCTCTTCTTGTATATTTTTCAATTATTTACTTCAGCAATCATTATTTTTATGAGTAAACTACCAATAGGTCCTGAGCATTGGACTTAATTCTTATAAAATGTTGTTAAAAATAAGTCTTAATAAAATTATCGTTAAAAATATTTCTTTGTGAGAATTTTTTGCATGTTGTTAAAAATTGGCTATTAGCAACTTTTTGTCATGATTTTTATAAATTGTTACCAAAATTTACAATTAATGATTTTTTTTATGACGAATTTTTTGAACTATTACTAAAAGTTGAAAATTAATGGTCTTTTTTGTGACTTTTTAATTTGTCGCTAAAATTTATAATTAGTGACATTTTTTGTTACAAAATTTTTAAATTGTCGTTAAAAATTTATAATTAGTAAGGTTTTTTTAATAATAAACATTATTAATTTTTACAGGATTTATTGAACAAATAAGTCAATGTATTAGAACTTAAAATGTAAGTTCTATTTTTATTTTGGCAGCATTTTAGTTAATATATATGAGCAATGATGGTTTCATTTCCCCTTCCAATTTCAGAACATTGAAAGATGATACTTATAGTTCAGTAGCTGTGTGTGTGTGTGTGTGTGTGTGTTCAGGTTCCTCCAAAAAAAATATTTGCAATTTTCACAATGTTTTTAGAGGACATTACCAATCCAATAATCAAGAAGCAACGTTAACACAACACCACATAAGGGCAAGAATAGTAAGATCTTTAATGTTGTCTTTAACATTCCCCCACATGTAAATTGCTCGGATTTTTTCAAAAATCAATGAATAATTTCCTTCACGGCCACATTGCTCAGAATTTTTCAAAAATTAATGAATAATTTCCTTTGTTCAATTTCACCGGTCAGTCACAAGATTGAAGGGTCAAGCAAAGAATGTATTACAGAGTAGTTCAGACACCATAGGAGGAAAAACAAGCCAACCACAGACCTATCAATAAAGACAATCTGAATTCAAATACCACTGTCAGCCATGGTTACATTATTCTCTCTGATCTTGCTTGTAACATCAATTCTTCAACCTGTTCCTTCGCTTTTTCCATACCTTTCCTTTTGAGTTCTTCCCTCAACATCTCATATATGGAAACCTTGGGAACAAATCCTCTCAACACGGTTTCCTCAAAAAATGAACATGCATGTTCAAGCTTCCCGCTCTTGCACAACCCACGAACCAAAAGAGAGTATGTTCCAAGATCAAGACTAACATCATTTTCAAACATGTGCTTCAACAAAAAGAAAAGCACCTTCATTCTTTTCTTCCTGCAACACATCTTCAACAATGGCGCGTAAGTTTTGAGATCAGGCTTGCACTGATTCTTTTCCATTTCTTGGAGCAGCTTCAATGCATTTTCCTCTTGCGAGTGCTCACAAGCAGCACTAATCATGGTATTATAAGTCAACACGTCTGGAATAACACCTCTATTTGGCATATCATCAAGCACTTCGCGAGCATCCTTAAGCCTACCAGCATTACTCAAAATGTAAATCATTGAGCTATAAAATGGAGAATCAAGAACACAACCATCCTTCTTCATCTTCTCATATACCTTCAATGCTTCACCTATCTCCTTTGCCTTCCCCAACGCGTGCATTACAATAGTATAAGTAACCGCATTAGGAGGACACCCCTTTTCTTGCATTTCCTCCAAAATTACATCGACTTTGCGAAAATCTTTCTCGCGACAATACGCTTCCACAAAACAAGTGTAGGAAATCACATTGGGGTGAAACCCTAGTTTTTCCATCTCTCCCATAGTCTCTCTAGCTCTCTCCATTTGCCTAACTTTACACCAACCATGTATCAATACATTGAGAGTGTGTGAATTTGGGGGTATACAATTCTTGAACTCCAAGTATACATCTTGAGCATGCTCAACACTATTCTCTTTCACCAATGCATCCATTAATGCATTCATAGCTTCCACATCTTTGCTCAAACCAAATCTCTCTATTCTCCTAAATGCCTCTATTGCATCTTCATACCTATAAGCTTTTGCAAACCTCCTCATAACCTTAGTCATTGTGATCAATGTAATGTAGCCTTCAAATTGATCCATTTCTTCAACCAATTCTCTCATAACCTCAAATTTCTTGCATTTCCCCAATATATCAACCATGGAGTTGTACAATTCACCTGAATATTCAAAACCCATTTGAAATTTCCCCCAATTGAAAAACCCAAAAGCCGGTATCCAATCATTGCTAAATCTCTTCAAAATTTGCTCAACCACACTCTCCGATAGATCAACACTACAACAACAACAATTCAAAGCTTGTATTACATCATCAGGAGATTGAAATCGATTCTTGAGGACTTTACTTATTTTATTGAGATCACTATCGATGATATCACTCACTATTGATTTGATTTTGATGTGGGTTGTTTGATGATGAAGCTTGTGATTATCAATCCAGTAAGAAACTGATGGAAGCACGAAATCTTCATCTGGGTTTTCGAGTTGTGGGTTTGTCTTCTCGGAAAATTTGACCCAGGTGGGAAGCTCGGGTGACTCGGGAATGGTGGGTGAGTCATCGATTTTGGGTGACTCGGTCGTGTTGCAGAAGAAATTGTAGACTCCATTGATATGGTGAACACTACCTTTATACATGTTTGGATTGGTTCGACTCCTACAATGCAAGAGAATCTTGAAAGTTTTGGATTTGAAAAGCATTTTTGATGAGCCAAACATGAGACAGAGCGTGACTGTGAGTGTGATGAGTAGAGTTATGGATAATTAGTGAAGAGTCATATATCTCAGGTTCGTTTGGGCGAATCTTTTTAGTCTGGTTTTTTTAGTCCATTTTTTATTATTTTAGTTTGATTAAAAAAAATTATTTGGGATAATTTTTGATTTTTTTTTTATATATTACTTGTTAATTTAATAATTGTGAGAGAAAAAAATGAAATGATTATAATTTGAATATAATATTTTATTTTATTAACTAAATTAGCTAATTTTATTCTGATTGACTAATTCAACGCTCAACATTACATCTCGAAGCCTTGTCTCGTTTAGGAACAAATTTTTTTAGTAATTTTTTAGTTTTTTTGACTAAAATATAATGTAAAAAAATAGTATGTTTGTAATGACTTTTTAATTTTTTATGAAAAAATGTACAAAACGTAAAGAGAAAAAGAAATTTTTGACTGTTTAATACATATTATTGATTTTTTGACTTTTTTAATGATTTTTTAATTTTTAGGTTAAAAAGATTACTTCCCAAACGAGGCCAGCCAAAGGTTGATTTTTCTGAGAATTACAATAAAACTTATTTACAAAAAATAAAGAAACATTATAAATATTAATAATTAATACCATAATTTTATTTTATTAATATGTAATAATTTTTTGAAACCACGTTGAATAATAATTTTTCCAATCTTTTTGTTTTTGAGGTATTACCTATTTGTAGTGTCAGAAAAATAACTATAAATCAATAAAAAAATTTAGGGTAAATTAGCCTGACACCCTTGAGTTTTCTGTTCAATACAAATCTTCCCTTCACGTTTGAAAAATTACACTTACCTCCTTATCATATTAAAATGACATGTTTACCTCTTAAACTTTATACATATAAAAATTTTGAAATTTTTCATACCAAAGAAATTTCGAACTCTGTGAAAATTGAAATTTCTCTGAGTCGGGGCCAAATTTTTCTAAGTCGGGTAAAATATCTCTAAGTCAAATTTTTATTTATGAAAATATTGAGGGACCTTAATTACTATAAAAATATTATATGTCATTTTATCTTATAAAATCTTAATATCAATAATCTTTTATCTTATAAAATTTTAATGTCAGTGATCTTCAAAAAAAAATTACTCTTTATGTTGCTTATGGTTATGACTTTTGTTTATTATCATTTCTATATTATTTTTGGTAAACTATCATTTAATTGCTCAAATTTCACTTCACTTTTTGGTGTAAACTTTAAAATTTTAATTTTTTTAATTTGAGCCCTCTAAAAATTATGTAAAGGTAGTCCATTGCATTAATGAATGCGAGAAAAATTACCATATCACCGGTTTTGTATTTGATAGTTTTTACAATTTAAGTTAGAAAGTTAATAAATTTTTCTTATAAAGTGATATGACATGCAGCAATAAAAATTTAAAATTTAAATGAAACTCAATAAAATAACATGATATGAATTGCGTCAATTTATATATATACATATATACATACGTATGTATGTTTTTTTATAATTTTGTTTGTTTGTTTGTTTATATAACATTCTAATCAATAAAATGATAGTCTAAATTCTAATCTCCCAATAAAATAGACATTCTTTCCAATTGTTAAATAGTAACACCATTTAAAATATATATTTCTTTTCTTTTTAACTAATCAAAAAATCAATATTCTGACAATATAATTATTTATTCCATTTTTTATTCCAATGAACCAAATGCTTATCATTTTGCATAAGGTTTAATGTGTGGTTTAGCAATTAATTTTTAACAATTTTTTAGTTTTTTCTTCTTATTTTTAGTGAATTTTTTTTTTAAAAAAAAATCAATTTTAGATTCTACTAGATTTGAAGAGCCTAAAAATTTAAAATAATAAAAACTGTTGAAAAAAATTTCAGCAAAAAAATAAAAAATTATTTGATTTGTTTTTTCTTTTCAAATCCTACTAGATTTTTCTTTCTTTCTTTTTTTATAGATAGAAAAAAAGAAGTTTAAAAAAAAATTGACACAATTTTTTAAAAAAATCACTAAAAATAAAAATAAGTTTAAAAAAAAAATCTTATTTTTAACTTATACCAAACAAAGTGAATTCTCACATCTGTTAGGATATAAATGAAAAATATAAATGAAATGTAACTTAAATATAAATCAAATTCTTTCATAATTTCTCCTATTTTTCCCTTTCTATTATTAAATTAGTTTTTCTTTTTAAATCCTACGTGTTCCAAACACAGTGTTACTGGAACAAGTGTTGCTATGGCACCTTATCAATTATTTTGGGTGTGTTTGGTGGTGGGTGACGGTGGCGGGTGATAAGTGGTAGTGAGTGGGTGGTGGTGGTGGTGAGTGGTGGGTGGTGGTGGCATGTGGGTGGCGGGTGGTGGTGGATGGTGGTGGTGATGGCGAGTGGTGGGTGGTGGTGGCAGGTGGTTGGTGGTAGTGGGTGGTTGGGTGGTGGCAGGTGTGTGAATGTTGGGTGGCAGTGTGGTGGTGAGTGTGATGGCAACTAAGTGGCAGGTGGTGTGTCGGGCAGTGAATGGTAGTGGCAGGTGGTGGGTAGATGACAGGTGGTGGTGGTGGTGGTGGTGGTGGTGGTGGCGAGAGTGGGGTGGCAGGTGGGTGGGGCTAGTGGGTGGTGGCTGGTGGTAGCAGTGCGTGGCTGGTGGTGCAGGTGGGTGGTGGTGTGTGGTAGGTGGTGGGAATGGTGGGTGGTGGGTGGTGGTGGCGCGCGAAGATGGTGATGAAAAATGGTGGCGGGTGGTGGTAATGTGGGTAATAAAAAAAAAAAAAAACTGAAACTCAAAATGAAACACATTTTTTTGTGTTTTTTATTTTTTGGCCAAATTTATAACTGAGACCACTGATTTATAAATTAAAAATTTTACCAAACAAGTTTTTATTTGAGTTTTAAATATTTGTAAATATAAACAGAAAATTGAAAACGTAAGTGTTACCAAACGGCACCTTTGGGTCTCCATTTCTTAGGTTTTTTTTATTATAATAATAATTTCAAATAAAATTATTAAAAATAACATAAATAATTTGGAAACATTCCATTTCATAATTAAATCCACACACATCTACTGCATCATGAGTTAGGATTTATGAAAGTACCTACCTCGATCACCACCCATCCATCTTTTCCAAATCCCACCTTCAAAATTTACACACCCTCAAAACCTTGAAAACTGTTTGGCAACAATATTCCGGCGATAACAATGACAATAATTTAAGTACATGCACTTCTCCAACAATGACAATGAGTGAAAGTTTTTTTGACAACCACAACTCTATGAAACCAGAGGAGTACAACAATAAAAACTCAAAAGATGTTGTGTTCTTAACTCAGAGGAGATTGGACTTGAACAACAAGTTTCTTGAAAAAATTGGCAAAAATAATAAAAAAAATTTATCATTTTTTCAGGACTAAACTCCCGACACATATGATCGAAATTCAAAAACACAATGCAGAACATTGTTTATTTGTTTGGGAATAGGTAATCAAACATTTTTTATTTGTTCAGGAAAAGATAACTGAAATAACAACAAAAGCAGGTAAACAAATGAGGTCGAACCATCATTGGGTGGTCAATTGGTCGATTGATCAGGGAGTTGATTGGTGGGTGAAATCCTGCCCAGTTTTGCACACACAGAGAGCATACAAGTATAGTAAGGCTATAGATGAATGACAGAAAACCAACTAAAAAAAGTATAAAAGTAGATTGTGTTGTGTATATGAAAAAGGTAATAAAAAAAACAAACAGATTAACAAATCCTGTAATAAAACGGAGAAAAAACTTCTTTATCACCATAATTTTTTTACTAGTTTTGGGAGATTCTACTGTCATGAGTTTTGTTAGGGTTTTGAAAAAGAGGGTTTTTGAAGTGTAAGAGGTATGAGAGTGTGTATTTGAATGGGTGAACTGTTTTTATAAAGAAAATTTTAATATTATTTAAGGGAAAAAAAATAAATTTTAAGAATTTTATAATTTATAAGTCGAGTTTAAAATAATTGATGAGATATTAATAACAATACTCTATTAAAATATAATGTTAATGAATTTAAAACGTAACAAATTTGTCCTTGTGAGTAAGGCTCAAAAAAAATTTTATTAAATTTTTTATCAAATATAGCCAAGGCATTTAAGTGCATGCCATTTAGGTGCATGCCAGGTGAGTCCCACACAAACATTTGATAGAAATTCAAATTTGTAAAAAATTCTACCTTTTCTGATGCAGGGTTAGTCTATGTGCTCTCTCTCTTTCCGAGTCTTTGTTGATAAACGTTGAGCGTTTGCTGTATTCGGTCAATTTTTATTCATGTGGGGGATTGTTGGAGAAAAATGGTTGAATAAGAAATTGCCTCATAAATGTGTATATAACTCACACATTTAAGGCTCATCAGTTTTACAAAATTGATTGGGCAGTTTTGCTAGCATTTGTTGCCAGCCTTGATGGCTAAAGGCTCCTTCCCTCTCCCCTATGGTGTATAAAAGGAGGCCCTATTCCTTGAAAAGAAATATAGAATTTTTCCTTGACATCCATACACTGTCAGTCTACTCCTCCTATAATTTTCTTCCTGAGAGAGAGTGTTGCCGTTGTCCGTTCGCTAAACTAATCAGAAGGTGCTTCTGTTGTAGTTGGTGAAAACCGTCGTATCTTGGGAAGTAGATGCCGGCGTACCTCCAGCACCCAACGGTGAGGCGGCGAATCTATTTTAAGGCGACTGTGGTATCACACAGGCTTTGTTTTGTTTCCTTTAACCATTTTATATTTTATCTGTATTTTATTCAGTATGTTGTTTTTCCTGGAATTGAAGGTTTGTTTTGTTCATCTCATAATTTTGCGATATGCAATGTGAAATTATGTAATGTGAGTAATTTTCCCAACATTTTGCACACATAGAGAACATACAAGTATAGTGAGGCTATGGATGAATGACAGAAAACCAACTAAAAAAGTATGAAAGTAGATTGTGTTGTGTATATGAAAAAGGGTAATAAAAAAAATCAAACAGATTAACAAATCCTGTAATAAAACGGAGAAAAAACTTCTTAATCACCATAATTTTTTTACTAGTTTTGGGAGATTTTACTGTCGTGAGTTTTGTTAGGGTTTTGGAAAAGAGGGTTTTTGAAGTGTAAGAGGCGTGGGAGTGTGTATTTGAATGAGTGAATTGTTTTTATAAGGATAATTTTAATATTATTTAAGAGAAAAAAAAATAAATTTTAAGAATTTTATAATTTATAAGTCGGATTTAAAATAATTGATAAAATGCTAATAACGACACTCCATTAAAATATAATGTTAATAAATTTAAAATTTAACAAATTTGTCTTTGTTAGTAAGACTGTAAAAAAATTTATTAAATTTTTTACCAAATATAGTGCAGGCATTTAAGTGCAAGTCAGGTGAGTCCCACACAAACATTTGATAGAAATTCCAATTTGTAAAAAATTGCATTTTATTCAAACAGTATCAAAAAATTACACCTTTATGGAAATTAATTTATGTGCGTAGTGCAAATCTTCCTCCCAAAAAAAAAAAAAAATTTCCTATAAAATTTGGTAATTGTTTATATGTAGCATTACTCTTTGAGCTGTCTCTGTACACATGTGGGAGTTTTTCTTCGATTGAAGTATCTAAAGAAGTATAGGAGCTGATTGATTGATTGTTTCTCTCTCTAAAGACTGCCCAATTCTTGAAAACCCATGAAGAGGCCAGTACCATGGAATGATCAAATCGATTTCATTTTATCAGATCCATCTTCTCCTTCTTCTTCTTCTGCAGATGATGATGAAGACGACGATGATGGATCTGAATCTGAAAGCAAGCACTCGAGCGACGCTGATGTCCCAATTAATGATCAACCCACCGAGGAAAAACCTTCTGAAGAAGGTATTCTCATCACCATCGTCATCGTCTCTCTCTCTTTTTTTTTTTTTGCAAATTGAAGATTTTGCTTAGAAATGTTTGATCTTTGAATGTGTTTCCTAATTAGTGGATATTGACTAGTGTCTTCTATGACTCGAATGAGATGTGTTTGATTGCTGAGAAAATTAATTGTTGAAGAAGAGAAAAGAATGTCATTTTGTGCCCTATGGTTTTTGAGAATTAAAAAAAACCCTACCTTTTGTACTAAAATGGGGATTTCAATTTTTTGCATAATTTTTATACAGAGAACTCCATGAAATGATGATGTGACTGTGTTTGTGACATTTTTATAATTAAAATCCAATCTTGATGGGATAATCAAGATTTTTCTTTTGAAGTGACAAGTGTTGTTTGATGTGGGGAATCTGGTGAAAAAAGCCCTTATACAACTGCCCCAATGATGCAATTACCAATTATATAATGACCCTATTGATGCAATTACCTGCTTTTAACTGATTTCTGTCCTGTGCGTTTTTTGTGCAATTTACCATTTCACTGGAATATATTGAAGATTTTGATGACAAATGTTTGATCTTGTGTGTTGTTTTTGAATGTGTTTCCTAATTAGTGAGTCTTGAGAAGTGTGTATGACTTGAATGAGTAAATCCTCCAAATGAATTTTGCAAGTGTTAATCGCTTAGAAAATTAATTGTTGAAGAAGGGAAAAAAGAATGTCACTCTTTGCCCTTTGGTTTTTGAGAAGTAAAAAAACCCTACCTTTTTGTACTAAATGATGGAAATTTCAATTTTTGCATAGTTTTTATGCAGAAAACTCTATCAAAATGATGATGTGACCATGACATTTTCATAATTAAAATTCATCTTGATGGGATAATCAAGATTTTTGTTTTGAAGTGACAAGTGTTGTTTGATGGGGGGATTTGGTGAAATAATCCGTTATTCAACAGCCCTCATAATGGGGGTGTTTGTTTGGACTTTTTTAAGCCAACTTATATCTTTTAGCTTTTGAAAAGTTATTTTGGATTGTTTGGTTAAACTTATTTCAAACAGTTTCTGATTCTAACAACTTATTTTAACTCAAAAAAGTTGATTCTAAGAAGCTGCTCACCTCTTGCTTCTGATTATCAGTTTCTGCTGTGAATATGTTAATTTATAGTTATACTCTTAGATTTTTTTATTTTTTATTTTTTAAAAAATAGAAAAAGACCCAAATGGATTATAGATTATTATTATTATTATTATTTATGAGAAATGTAAACAAGTAGTGAATAATAAAAAATAAAAGTTAATTGAAAGAACTAGTTCACAGCTTATTTAACAAACACTATTGAGTAACTTAAATCTATAATCCAACAGTTACACCAAACAGATTAACAGCTTTTGATTAAAGTCATAATCTATAATCTGTTTTAATAGCTACACCAAACAGTTTAATTGAAATTACCCGTTGTATAATGACGCTATTAATGCAATTACCATTATTAACTGGTAATAAGGTTCTCTTGGCAACAACTTTTTAAGAAAACTTTTAAATTTTTTGTCTCTATTTCCATTTCAGGCCTTTTAAACTAAAAAAGATTACTATAGACAAAAAAAATTGTTTAAAAGTAGGCTTTTAAAATTGTTGCAAGCTAAAATTTAGCTGTATCATTTTGTATGCTATTTGTAGTAACTGTTCGGAAAAAAATTGTGCATATATAGCTTTTATATTTGTATAGAATTACTTTTTTACTCCTAACATAATGAATTTTCTGCATTACAACATTACTCCATGCAGTAGGGTTAGTTGTCTAGCACATTTCCTAGCTTGAGGTTAAATGAGCAAGAAGATTTTACTATTGGCTTCACACTTGTGGGGCTATATGTAACTCAGGGATTCCCATCTCTTACCTTTGGATGTCGCTAATGCTATGAATGAAAAGATTTCTTCTGAGCACAATAAATTAAAATTCCATATTTACCCTTTGCACGTTTTAGGCCACCTATCTCTCTCTCCTATTTCTCTCTCCATGTGAGCACTTGTTGCTTTTCCTTTGTCACCCTTTCTCTCTCTAGAATCTAGTCTCTACCCCTTTCGTTCTCTACTCTACTTCCACTGTCTCTCCATCTTTACCAACTCTTCTCCCTCCATAGTCATATTACAACACCAGTGTGATTGTCGTCGTTGAAGTCAAAAGCCTCTATTATAATGGCACTCCGAGAAATCCTATATTGAGATCATGGGCCACCCATCGCTGGACCGTGCCAAGATCTAATTTTTGACCTCAATGCCCTCTAGTACTCTTGTTGGGCCTCGTATATTTGGAGCATCCTTGGTGTTCCGCCTCTCCTTGCTTCCCTCTCGACTCGTCTACATCACCAATTAGACATTGCCATTCCTTTGACCTCACCACTTCCAAAACCTCCATCCTCCATCTAGAACTGCCCTGAATGCTGCATCTAAGAGGTCTTTTGGGGTTGGCATTTTTAGTTGGTTTTTTGATTTTTTTTGTAGAATCCAAAAAAGCTTATGCATTTGGGAAGTAGTGTGATTTTTTGCATTTTTGATGAGTGAAAGGGTTGAGTTCGGCTTTTTTAGTTGATGACAAGTAGGCTTTTTGACTTTTTGGCTGGATATTTTAGAACATCGCAAATAGACCCCAAGTACCCTTCAAAATTAAAACCTCAATCCACAAAAATACCTAAATTGAAAGATCCACTTAAGTATTTCTAGATGTTGCCATGTGGCAAGATTGCCAGAGGCATAGTTGTAGCCACTATTGTTTGCTATTGTGTGTGTGTATACATGTAATTGAATTGAAACAAGAAGACCAAATGACTACATCCATATATATGTATATATGTAAGTGTAATTGAATTGAAAGAAAATTTATTAAATTTAAAATAGGATCAATTTCGGTAGAGAGAGAGAGAGAGAGAGAGAGAGAGAGAGGGGGGGGGAGGGCAACTATGGCATCACTTTTTAATTTGCCTAGAAGTATCAACGACACTAATGACGATCATGGAAATAAGCAAAAGGGCAAATTTGGAATTTCTTGTGGAGAATTTTTACAAAATATTTTGAGTCTTCAATTGTGTTTATTTTAAATTAGTATGCTAGTGGTCAATTTTATGCCATCATATTAGGTTCAAGTGATTAGGGGTATTATGGTAATTTCAATAATTGCTGGACACGAGTCATATTCTACTATGGGTTATCTTACGGGTCAAGTAATGTTATTTGCATTTTATTAGGACCTAGTTGGTTTAGAATATTAGTAATTACCAAATATTTTTAATTTCTCTAAATTTAGTCCTAGTTCTTGTAGAATTAGGAGTCTTTAACTTGTAAATATATGTGTAATCTCAATAATAAAAAAAGAGTTGATATTATGAGAATTTGAGATTGCGTTTGTTTGTGACTAGCCTAACCCTTGCGAGGGTGAAGCTCTTTTTCCTTTCTTCTTCTTCTTCTACTTTCTCTTTCTTCTTCTTTGCACACACACTCTAGTTCTATTCTCGGGTTACTATTCAAACTCACTTAGGCTATGTTTGGAGTATGGATTTGGGTAGAAATTGAGAAAGGGAAAGGGAAAAGGAAAAGGAAAAAATGTGTGAAATGTAACTCTATTTTGTTCACATTTCACATATATTTTCCTTTGCCCGTTCCCCATCCCTACCCAAATCTATATTCTAAACAAAGCCTTAAAGTATACTTTTCAACTCTAAAACCCTATCTAATCACCCTCAAATCAACCCTAATCCCTTCTTCTACCAGTTACCCTTCAATTTAACCGTTAAAACCCTAAATTATTCACCATTTGGGCCCTTAACTAGCCTCTATTTGAAATTCCAGCAACCTGTCCTACAAATTCCAGCAACCTGTCCTACATCAGTTACCTTTTTACCTTTTAGTGTCAAAATTCGCAGACTAGTCAACTTGATGAAAACTAGGATTGGAAGCTTCTATTTACACTCAATAAATTTCTTATTACACGAATCTTGTGTATTGTAACACTAGTACTTTATGAAGAAAATTTGTACACACAGATACAAAGCGATATTAATGACATGTAAATAGAAGCTCCCAACTAGAATTACAATGTGAATCTTGAATTTGTACCATTCATTCATGATTATGATGCAGTAAGATTGTCACTTTGTTAGTTACACATTGTGTGGCGGATGAAAGAATTGATCTCACTTGGGAAATAGGCTGGTTTTCGATAGCAAGTTCATCTCAAACAACTCGAATGACTGTACAACATGCATTCCAACAACAATTTTGACTGTGATCGAAACGGAGGGAAATTTGTTCATGTTGGTTTTTCGATGTCATTCAATATGTAGGAAACATTAACTTAGGTGGTATTGCTGAAAAATTCCTTTGTGATGATCGTTGATACGAGAATAGGTGCTAGAATGGAGGGAACCTCTTCAAAAAAGAGAGAATTTCCACCAATGATGTTATAACATGGTTTTTTATTTTTATTTTTTCAAGTTACTTTTGCTGTGGTATCATTGCACCTTTTTTAGCCCTTAATGCATTCTCAACTGTTTTTTTAATAAGCTATTTACTTCTTTATATGACTTCTCTAGTTTCTCGCAAGCACTGCTTTGCATAAATTTGTGTTTTACAATGCAGAAATGGTGACGAGAAGTGCGAAAATGTATCAAGACTACATGAATCAGATTCCAATCCCCTCCCAACGAGGTTCTGTTATTCCATTTAACTCATGGACGGGATTAGCCAAATCCATTAAGCAGCTATATGGGCAACCCCTGCATTACCTCACCAACATTCGTATAAAAGAGTGGGACAAAATGAGAATTGGCCATGAGGACGAAGATAGACCATTGGATAGTATTATTCATCCTGCTAAAGCCGAAGCCAGCATTTGGCTGACTGAAGAAGTTCATCGGCTCACCACATCTCATTATCATCTAGCAAAGCTCTGGGCCTCGGATCCAATGCACTATGCTTTTATCGATCCAATTTTTCCTAGACTATGAACATTTTGTGTGAAAAGTGTTCTCTCTAGCTGTAGCGCTAGTTTGTAAGGCTCTCTCTCTCTCTCTCTCTCTCTCTCTAAGACCTTGGCTGTGTATTGGTGAATTCAAGAAACATAAATCTTATTTTTTTGTTAGTTCACATGTTTCTTTCTTTTGTTCTTCTATTGCTATATTTTCGTTTTCTTTTTCATTTTATATACTTACGGTGTTATCAAAGTTAGGGCAGCAAATGATGGAGCTGCTTGTGAGTTTGGTTGGGCTGGGCTTGACTCAGTAAGGGCTTGACTTGGCTTAGTTTGTTACGTATATATACGAGTACTAGTTAGATTTTTAAGCTTGTTTGATAAACACGTATATATACGAGTACAAGTTAGATTTTTAAGCTTGTTTGATAAACAAACCAAATTCAAGCTAGAATAAGCCCGTTAAATCTATTACTTCTATATTGAATAATATAAAATGTGTTATATATGCATCTTTAGTAGTATAGAATAATATTTAGAGAGTTTTTTGAACTTGATTATCGAGCCAAGCTTTTTCTTAATTATCAAGTTTCAAGCTATTTCTTAATTATCAAGTTTCAAGCTATCAAGCTTGATTAAGCCAAGCCAAGCTCAAACTAGATTAGTTTTTGAATTGAATTGAACTTGAGCTCGATCAAATTAGCCCAGCTTCTAGATTAATTTTTGAATTAAACTTGAGCTTGATTTTTGAGCTCAAAGAGACGAGCTTTAGCTTGCAAAGCTTGACTTGTTCACAACTGTGGTCACTTTGAATTACCACTTTGCTAGATCTCGAATGAAACTGAATTTAGATGTTAATGAGTTTCTTATTTGTACAAAATCAAGTGTTGCATTTGAACTGACATGGTGAATGATTATCGCATTCTCTGTAGGTAGGATTGTTTAAAATTTGTTCTGATATATTGATTTTATGAACATGGGTCATTTTTTCGTTTCACCAAAAATCATTGCAAGAACACAACCCTTGCTGGAAAATGTGAAATCGGTTATTATCCCGAACAACAATTTCGCGACTGTATATTTCTGACACCAATTTTGCAAATGAGTGACAATCAGAGCACATTCGAAGATTCTTAACTACACGGATAGGCGTTCCTTGACTCGTTCTGAGAAGCCCAAATTGCCATGGCCCGCTTTTCACTGTGTCGACTGAGCAAGAATTCCTTTTCCCGGTCATCAACATCAAGCAAAACATTTGTTAGATCAGGAACGTGCCCGACATCTCTGATTCTGCAGTTCATCTCCTGTAGCATCAACGCAATGTCAGTCATTTCCGGGTGTGATTCATCACTAGAGGTAAATTCATGAATGACTCCATCGATCTCAATTGAGCTCGATCCAGGCACTTTACGAAGCCCTCTCTCCTTCATTTGAAGCCTCACTCTAGCAACATCGGTCCATTTCCCAGCAGAAGCATTTATAATAGTTTGAAAGAGAAGCACGATGGAAACCGCAATCTTGTCATGAGCCGAATCAGCCGTATTCTCTCAGCTGCATACGCTGCCATTTTGTCATTTTTGCAGGTTCTGCAAGCAGCCAAAAGAGCTCCCCAAACGACACTGTTAGGCTCCATGGGCATGCCCTCTATGAGATCAAGTGCTTCGCTCAACAACCCAGCTCGACCAAGCAGATCAACCATGCAACCATAATGAACAATTTGTGGTGAAACTCCGTGTTTTTCCTTCATTGATTGGAAAAGACGCTTTCCTTGATCCACCAAACCTGCATGGCTGCAAGCCATCAGTACTTCCACAAATGCTACCACATCGGGTTTCAGCCCTTGCTCTAGCATCTCATCGAAAAGCTCTATTGCTCGAATCCCATTTCCTTCCAAGGCCATGGCTCCAATCACTGCAGTCCAAGCAGAAACGTCTCTCTCCTTCGTTTTGTTGAACACTAGCACCGCACTTTCAGTGTCGCCACACCTAGCAAACATGTCGACAAGGGCAGTGCCAAGTTTCAGGTCGCAATGAATTTCGGTTCTTTCAATGTAACGGTATGCCCACTTTGCAAGATCAACAGCTCCTAAATACCCACAGGCAGATGCAACACTCACCATTGTCACCTTGTCTGCTTTTATTCCCTCACTCTGCATCACTCGGAAAAGTTCAATCGCATCCTCAAACAAGCTCTCTTGCACCAAAGCGCCTATCATGGTGTTCCAAGACACAAGATCAGTCTCCGGCATCTGATTGAACAATCCCCAAGCTGACTCCACATCACCGTTTCTAACAAAACCTGCGATTAAGGTGTTCCATGAGACCACTGTCTTGGTTGACATCCGATCAAAAACCCTGCAAGCCAACTCTTGTTTACCGCACTTTGTATACATGTCGATTATGGCATTACTAACACTATCCCAACCGTCCAACCCATTCCGCAAAATGTAACAATGGCATTGCCTTCCAAATGAAAATTCGCCTAATTGTGCGGAGGCCGAGACTGCAGATAACATTGTAACCCTATCTGGCTTTGGTCCTTGTCGAAGCATTTCAATCAAGATAGCCAGAGCTTCTTTTTCCATTCCCTGCCGCACATAGTTCGACAATATAGTATTGTACAATACCAAATTTTCATCAAGACAATCATCAAAAAGTTGTTTTGCTCTCTCAGTGGCACCACATTTCATGTACATATCAACAAGTGCATTCACCAACAAACCATTAATCTTCAGCCCCGACTCGCCTAGGTAAACACAAACCCTTTCACCCAATTCCAAGTCCCTCAACTTAGCACAAGCCGAAATCACACAAACCATGGTGATTGAATTGGGCTCAATCCCTGTCTCCACCATCTCAAAAAACATAGAAACAGCCTCGCTAGGCCTATCCCTCCGAGCATACCCACAAATCAGACTAGTCCACGACACGACGTTTCGTTCAGACATTTCATCGAACACTTTCTTCCCAAAATCAACCTCCCCACACTCGAAGTAAAAATGGATCAGCGAGTTCTGTATAAACACATCTTCCCCCAAACCCATCTTCACAACCGACCCATGAAGCTGAATTCCCTCAAGAAACGCCTCGCCCTTGGCGCACGCGCTGAGAGCGAACGGAAAGGTGTAGTGGTCTGGATTGACACCTTCAGATACCATTCCGAGATAGAGAGAGATAGCTTCATTGCAAAGTCCAGCAATAGAGTAGCCTCTGATCAGAGAATTGAACGTGTAAAGTGAAACTGTACTGATATCGAAGAGGTCCAAGGACTTTCTGGCGTATTGTAAGCTTTCGGGAGTGGCGATTTCGGCACAGAGAGAGATTATCTTGGTGAAAGTAGAGTTGGTGTGATTGTTGAGGCTTTTCTTTGTGATCTGAGCGTGTAGTTGCTTGACTTCGTTTAGATTTCTGCGAAATTTGATTGACCCAGTTTCAGAAGAGTGTTTGGTGGTATGTTCGGATTGGTTTTGGGTGATGGCGGCTGCGGAGGCGGCGACGGCGAGAGGGGAGACATGAAGGCTGGTGGCAGTCATTGCTGTTGGAGGTTCAACAGTAAATGAAAAATAACTTCATTAAATGATAATTTTATCTATTCTGTCACACCGTCACCACCACCACACCACTATCATCACCACCTTTCACCTTCACCTTCACTCGACCACCACTACTATTACAAACACTACTAATGCATCTATTAGTAGGTCAATTTAAAAAATGTAATCAAACATAATAAAAAAATAATTTTAACCAAAGCAAACGGAGTTTTGATAAATTTTTGTTGGGCGCTTTATTTTATTTTATGAGTCCCCACTTTAACTGTTTTATTTCATTCAATTCATATTTTTTTTAATTATTTTATTAAATTTTATTTGAAATAAAAAGATCAAAATACTCTTAATTTCTCATATCTCTTATTAATGTTGATATTTAATATTAATTGTTATTATATTTTGGTAGTTTTCATACATTAGGATGTTGACTGTCGTTATATTCATATTAATTTGGAATAAATTTTTTTCATTGTGTTGTCAATTATATGATGTGAATATTCACATCATGTAATTGAAATGAATATTCATATCATTATATTCATATTAATTTGAAATGAATTTTTCACATTGTGTTGTTAATTACATGATGTGAATATTCATACTAAAACATACGAATGTGAACGTTCACAACACTACATGTTGTGAATAAGAATGTGTTGTCAATTAAAAATATAAAATGTTGTGAACATTCATATCACTACATTAAATAAGAGAAAAATTTTCAAAAAGATGTGAACGTTCACATCAGATGAGAGAGAATGTTCATATTATTTTTAATGTCTTGTCAATTAAAAATAATAAGATTCGCATCACTACATTAGATGAGAGAAAATTTTTTAGAAATGTATTGTGAACGTTCACATCAAATGAAGAGAATGTTCACATTATTTTTAATGTGTTGTTAATTAAAAATATATTCTCATCAGATGAGAGAGAATGTTCACATTATTTTTAATGTGTCGTCAATTAAAAATAGATGTATTTACATGTAGGTCTTAATAAGTGGACTTATTGTCTAATAGGTCCTATGAAAAAAATTTGTTATAAAAAATGTCACTAATTGTAAGTTTTAGAGACAATTTATAAAAATAATGACAAAGAAGTCTCAATTTTTAGCGATGTATGTAAAAAATTGTTACAAAAAAATTATTTTAGTGACAATTTTATCAAAACTTATTCTCAATAGGATTTAATAGAAATTAAGTCTAACTATTATGACCTATTGGTAGTTTACCCTTAAAAATATATTCGCATTACATAATAATATCAATTTTATTTAATTTGTGTATGAAATTTCCAATGTCACATTAAATATCAATATTAAATACAAGAGCATAAGAGTCTAAGAAAATAATGAATTAAGAAAAAAGACTTTATGAAATAAAAGTATAAATACATGGGATTAAGTGGGTTAAAAATTTTCTTCACGGACTTCTTGGATTAGAATACTTCTAAATGGGATTTATCAATAAAAATCTCATTTTTGTTTTATGGAGTTATGTTTTAGGATTTTTTTTTTTTGAGGGCTCTAATATTAAAATTTTATAAAATAAAGGACATATAATATTTTCATAATAAAATTGAAATTTCTCTGAGTCTCGGCTCAAATTTTTCTGAATTGGGCGAAATTTCTCTGAATCAAATTTTCTCTGTGAAAATATTGAGGGAGCTTAACTAATAAAAAAAAATATCTTAGACCTCTCCTATTATACAAAGTTGAAGAGATATGTTTCACTAATTTTTCCTTATTTTTTTTAATAAACTTTTTACAATAATACTTTGAAATATTTATTTTTTTCTATCAATTTTATGTTAAAAATATAGAAATCTAATTTCATTGCTATGGTGAATTAAGATAGAGAATAATTTTTAACCCAAATAAATAAATAAATAAAATTTTAAAAATAAAAATGTTTAAAAAATTAAAAACAATAATGAGCTGTTTGGTATTATTTATTTTTTTTCATTTTATATATATGTATATATATTTTTCAAATTATTTTTGGGAAAAATTTATAAAGCAACTCACCTTAGAAACTTTGAAAAAGTTGTTTCAAAATTTTGAAAATTATCTTCAAATAAAAATGAAAACAATTTTAAAACAAGGATTGTTTTCAAAATTTTCATTATTTTTTTTCTTAAAAAAAAAAAGAAGCGAAAACAGTAACAAATGGGTCATTGGCATAAATTTAGTCCTGCCATTTATAATTGGAATGAATGACATTGTAATATCAAAATTGAATGAGAATTTTCCAAAGAAATTCAAGTAATTAGAAAAAAAAAAACATATATATATATAGAAAAAAAAAATACATATATATATATATATATTAAGAATCTGTATATGTTGCTTCATTCACAATCAAGAAATATCCCAGGAAGCAACTGCCACAGACAATTGTTCTTTGAAAGAAAAGAAAAAAAAGAATTGTGAAACATCCACAGATTATCTCCATTTTCTGTGCAACCAAAACATGCTTTCACTCTCCATTGACAGATACAAATGAATAGAAGAAGAATCAAGGACCGCGAACTGGAGCGAAGCAGAAGCAGCCAGCGCCCTGGTCTTCGGGTATCATCCCGCCTCCTTTGGTCGTGTCAATTGCTTCTAACAACCTCACTACCTCACTCATGTCGGGGCGTTTTTCTGGGTTTGCGTCCCAGCATTTCTTCATGATGTGTGCTAGAGAACTCGGGCAACATCTGGGGATTTCTGGCCTTAAATTCTGACAATATAGTCATCACAGTATTAACTCCCAGGGGATTTATGTGAATGTAAAACATTTTATAGCATAAAACAAACTCAAACACTTCCTAGGAAAATATAAATATAGCAAGTACTTTAAAAAAACATGAACATGAACACTATTTTAATATAAGTTAATTTACATTTCTAGATGCTCCTTGAATCTTAATATATGCCGTATCTAAAAAAAGAACATGTCAAATTGTTTATGGTAGCATATCAATCTAATCAAATGTTTAGGAACCAGATTAGCTAAAATTCAATTTCAATCATATATAATGAGCAAAAGTAGTTGCAACAAATATAATTTGATCTTTTCTGTTCTCAAATTTCTAATTTATCAATGATAGAAGCACAGGGGAGCTAAGTATGACAATGCAGGTTCAAATCTGTTGAGGAGCCACACAACTTTTTTTTGTGGGGGTGCCCACAACATGAGGGTGTCTGGGGCTTCACCTCAACTCATCCCCCACATATACGTAGTCCTCCGTCTCACATATATCAAGAAATTACCTGGCTTAAGCCCTCCCAGCAATCAACATCGATCAGTAGGGTGCAAAAGTTTGTCACTAGAACATAACCGCAGGCAAAAGCCAACTAAATTAAAGTAAAACCAATAAAACAAAGGATTATTACTTCAAATCCACAATCAGAAGAAATAAAATTATTTCACTTCTAAGTGATGTCCAAAACCGCTAGTAAAAATACAATAACGCAATTGCATCAGGTTTCTTTAAGTTGGGATATTTGACAATTGAATTATTAATAAATAGCTAAGCAGGTAAGTGGCATTATAGAATTCATGGCATGAATTCATTGATTAAACTGACCTGTCGAACAACAGCGGAGGAAACTTCAACAAAGCTAAGATTTGTGTAGGGTAGATCACAACAATAAATTTCCCATAAACATATGCCGAAGCTGTAGACATCACATTTTCTATTGTATGGCTTGCCATCAAGAACCTACAAAAAAATTACCTCTATCATTTTTTCCCTTTTAAATGTCAGCCAGAGAGAAAACCAAACAAATCACTTCTCCAAAAAAAGACACATAAAACTTCGTTTTGATTTAAGAAACACGGACACTTCTAAGAAGGTAGCATGGCATGTTGTTTCATTCATTGACATGACATAACACTCATCAGACCCTTTTTGACACGTGTTCGAACATTCTTACTATTTCAAAAAAATCTTCTAGAATCGGACACGCCTTAAGCGTTTGGGTAAATATAATATGTGTCTATCACTTAGATATATATAAAACACAATACAAATTTGAACAAAATTACTTTCAATCCAATGAAAAAAGCAAAACAATATAAATTTATGCATATTCTCTTCCTTCAGACTGTAGAAATTAGTGTTATATTACATTTCGTTATTATCTTTCAATTAAATATTCATATATATGGCATTTAACAATTGCTTGTTTCAACAAGAACTTGTTGCAGAGAGTGTTAAGTACCTCAGGTGCCATGTAACCAAGGGTTCCAGTTTCACCGGTCATGTCCTGAGGATTCTGAGCTTCAACACGAGCAACACCAAAATCAGCAATTTTTAGATTTCTATGAGTATCTAGCAACATATTCTCAGCTTTAACATCACGATGCACAATTTTCTCTGAATGCAGATAGCTCAATCTGCACAAAATAAATTAAGAAGTAATATTCTCCATCCATGGAAATTTAATTCATACATTTTCAGTTTTGACTTATGAATGACAAAAGGGAAACTCACCCTCTAGCGAGGTCCAAAGCAAGTTGAATCACTATTTTAAAGGTAAGTTTCTTTTTCCTATTTTGAAAAAGGAATTTTTTCAGCGTCCCACCGTGGAGGTACTCCAGAACCACACAACATGCCCTTGGTGGAAGGGTAATATTACCATCACTAGAAGGATTTTTTGAAGGAATCTTAAGATCTGACGTCCCCATTGAAGCACCAACAAACTGTAATGAAGCATATACAAAGTCATGATTATAACTCGCAAGTTTTAAGTTAAATATCCGACAGGTCATTTTCTTTGGTTGAGTTCTCATATTCTTTTTTCTGAAAAAATTTCAAAATTTTTTGGTGAAAAAAATGAAAAATAAAAAGTCACCTTTTTCTTGTGTGTTTGTGTTTACTTTCATCAAACTAGTTTCTAATTTTCAAAAAAAATCATAAGAATTTCTGAAAACTCAACCAAACAGAGTTGTAGTTGCACGAAGAGGGGGAAGGGGCAGGGTTCCAAAGCAAGGCCCCATAGAAATTTTTAGCATCTAAGGTTATAGTACAAAACAAAATAAATTCTGTTATCGAGAATATCTATTTTACACGAATACTGCACATCATTATGTTTATCATGGGTCATAAACCTTTCAAACTATTTAGAGAGTTAATGCATAATTTGTACTTTTGTGACATTTGGATGGTCAAGCTTTTGCCAAACGGCAACCTCTTGCCGAAATGATGCCCGCAAAGCAGCAGTTTCAGCAGTTGTGGCCATGCCATCCTCTCCCCAGTCCAACAGCTTCACTGTAATAGACAAAAAACAAACAGTTATGCTCAATTTGATTTGAATTCATATTTAGCTGAAATTGATATGTAATTGTTGACAATGTTCTCAATTTGATCCTCTTTTTTTCTTTTCTTTGGATAACTTAGCTGAAATTGAATTGTAATTGAGGAATTATATGATCAATTTGAGCTAAAACTAATTGATTTTATTTTTGACATAATTGATCAAGAATTATGTTGTAATTTATTATGTTATGAAATTTTTGTGAAATTCACAAGAATCACAACTTATATCAAGAATTTCAGTTCCAGTGAAAAAAAGGCACTAGAGTTTCTTCGCATATCATCCATTTTCCCAACAACCAAACAGATACAAAGAGGAATAAGGGAGGGTGTTAATATACCTGCAACATCTTGGTTATCATAAGTACCGCGATACACAGTACCATAGGTGCCCCGAGCAACCAAATATCTTATATCCAACTTAAATGGATCGATCTCCCACTCTTCCTTTGGCATTTGTGCCTCTACGTTCCTCGACCAAACCCGGCTCAAATGTTTCTCCAGCTGAACATCCAAGCTTTTCAGATCAATTTTGTCAGCTCTGAATATCATATCTTTGCTACTAAAACTTCCAGTACCCTTCGCCAACAAATTTTTACTGGTAAGACTACCCTTGCCAATCAACTTTGAGTTTGACCCCAATCCCCCCTCTTCATTGCCCGGCTTCTCCGTTTTCGGAACTTCTCCAACTTCATCATCTTTTTTCACATCCATTGTCAAGAACCCCAAATCCAATCAATAGTCGGAAACACCGAATACCTTTGCTCTGAGAACAAATATCAAACAATTGAACTACACAAATTCAACCCAGTTGAATTGATCTTTTTGTAATCCCAAAAAAGGTTTGATAAAACAATGCAGGGGTGAAACAAATGATTTTGATAAAAAAAATTAAAAATTAAAAACTTTCCACCATCAATGTTATAGAATTTGAATCAAACCAAATAATATGAAAATCCCTGATCAAATTTACAATGATGCTGCCAAAATAAGCTCCTTCAGATCAAACCCAAATCAAATTTAAAACAAGGAAACAACTTAATCACAGCTATAAACAAAAAAAAAAAACGTAAGAATGAGAAATTAAACCACACGAAAACGACCCAATTCCAAACATTTATAATGCCATGACCGACAACCAACCAACAAATCGTTGAAAATTTAAATAAAATAAAAAAAAGAATTAAAAAGAAGAGAAGATTAAAACAAAAAGCTTACGCAAGATTCTGAAGGATACCCAGAAACTGAAATTGAAAACCCAGAAAAACCCAAAAAGGAAAAAAAAGAGAAGAGATAGTAAAGATTGACCAAACCCCAAATTGTATCAGAAGACAAAAAGAAAAAAAAAAGAAAAAAAAAAGCAGCTGGTACACAAAAGAGGTGTTGGCGAATTTTTAGAGCAATGGAGGAACGGAAGAAGGGCTTTTTCAGAGGAGAGGGAGAGGGAGAGGGAGAGAGAGAAAAAAGATATGCATATATATGTATAGGTAGAGAGAGAAAAGCGCGATCCAAGAAAAGAAAGAAAGAAGAGCAGTCTGTTTTCGTGCCCGTACTTTCAACGACATCATCCGTACGTACCAAAAATAGAAAAAGACGTTGTCCGCAGCATCTGTGAATGGACCAAAATGCCCTTTTTTTTTTTTTTTTTTTTTTTTTTTTTTTTTTATTTTTTTTTTTTTGCTTTAACTGTGCTACCAACCGAAAGATAGGTCTCCCTTTGGCAAAGCATAAAAGAAATGATACTCCCCTACGTATTAAAATAATGGTCTTTTTTTTGATAAATTTAACTTTTTTTTAATAGTATAATTATTGTATTTTAAAAAAATTAACTTTTTAAAATTACTCATTGATAACATATTTTTTGGAAAATATTAATATCATAATTGTACTTTTTATATTCTCAATGAGTTTAAAAGAAGGGCAAAATGAGAAATTTATATTATTTTTGTACTTAATTTTTGAAAATGAACTAATATTTTGAGACAATAAAAAATAAAATAAGGACTAATATTTGGGGACAGGTGGAGTAGTAGTTTTAGATGGGTTTTTGCTAATAATTGTTCTTAGGATACAAATAAAAGATTAAAAAAAAAATTGAAAAACATAATGGGCCTCTGTTTGGCAAGTGAGGTTGGAGGCTTTTTTGGCTATTTTAGCCACAAAAAACAAAATAGGCTATACTTTATAACCTAAAATAAATTTGAGGGACCTTAGCCATCAAAACATATTATAAAGGACCTCTCCTCATATCAAAAGTAGAGGAGGGACCTTAGGCCAATTTTCCCAAAATAAAATAAGGACTAATATTTGGGGACAGGTGGAGTAGTAGTTTTAGATGGGTTTTTGCTAATAATTGTTCTTAGGATACAAATAAAAGATTAAAAAAAAAATTGAAAAACATAATGGGTGTGTTTGGTTTGATTTTGGGAAATACATTTTTTAAAAAACTCTTGGAGAAAGAGTTTAGAATTTTTTTTAGTTTGTTTGGTTGTATATTTTGGAAATAGTTTTGGAATGTGAAAGTTTGGGATGATTTGATATTTTATTGTAGTAGAGTAGATATGTATGAGAAAAAAAAATATAAAAAGTGATTTTAGATTTTTTTTTTTCAAAATCAATAAACCAAACAAAATTTTAAAAAATTTTCTCTAAAATTTATTTTTCAAAAACAAACCAAACAAGGCCAACATACTTTTTACTAAATTTAATATATTTTTTAAATAATTTTACATATTTTTAAGACACTTTATATACACTTTTTAACATTAAACAATGCATAAATGATTGTCAATTTTCATCATTGTGTTTGAGTGTTTGGTATACATTTATATATAAAAAAAAAAGAAGTCCTTTTTTTTTAAAACAAAATTGTTTTTGGTTTTTTTTTTTATTTAAATTATGCCAAATTTTTAAAAAAATTTATAATCTGTATTTTATAGCTGAATCTAAAAAGTAAATAAATAAATAAATAAATAAATAATTCATTTTTTTTCTTAATTTTACTTTTTCGATTCATGTAGTTGAGTAAAACCCAAAATTCAATTTTTTTTTTGTTGAGTAAATTGAAAACAAATTCACTAAAATCAGAAAGAAATCAACAAAAAAGTAAATCTCAAACGTAATTTTTTTATTTTATTGTATTTAGTGTGATAATTTGAGTATTATAAAATATAGATATTTAGTCTAACATCTATTTTTAATTTTTAATAACAAGAAAAAATTAACGATATTATTTTTTATAATCTAGAGTCTTTCATCCACACCCATATATTACATTCACTCTTATTCTCTCAGCTCTCTCTGGTGGTTTTATATTTGCTTTCCGTTAAATATTTCTTCAATAACATTCAAATCATATCTTGAAATTTAATATATTCATTTTTAGAACGCAATCTGATTCTGAACTAAAAATTTTCTCAGCAACCAACACCACCAAATTTTTACACTCAACCACCTTCGAAAATCTCTCAATCCAAAGTCCTATCTCGGGTTTTCTCTGAAGACTTCGAGAAATTCAAGAAAAACACCATCATAGACCCTCGAGGTCGATTTGTCCGAGGATGGAGCAATATTTTTCTAGCGGCATGTTTGGTTTTCTTGCTTTTCAATCCTATTTTATTCTTCGTCCTCAAGGACGACCCTAAGCTCTGCGTCGAAGTCGGGTTGTCCGCCCCACTATATGTGGATGTTTGGGAAGTGATTATTTTTTAAATTTTTTGATTTTTTGACTATTTTAATATGTTATTTTAATTTTTGTATTTGGAAAGATGTATTGAATTTTTTGTTTAATTATTGTATTAAAAAATGTGTTTGAAATGATATTAAGATAAAAAATAATTAAATTATTTCTAAAAGTTGTGCCTGGCGTGAATTAAGATTATGTTGGGATATGAAATGACTAAATTATCCCTGTGTGTTGGAATGCTAAGTTGATGGGTTAGTCAAAAATTAAAAGGGCAAAATCATAATTTCAAATCTACCCTGCACAGTCATGACACTTTTGACAAATTTGTTCGCGTTAGTTTCTGATAAAAATAAAAATAAAAAAAAAAAATCTCAGCTACAGTTCAGCTTTTTGGCTATTTACTTAAATGAGGCTAAAATAGCCTCCTCAATTTCCTTCCCAAACACCGCCTATATATATATGAGTATGATTTCTCCATGATTTATCTCCATTCAATTTTGTAGTTCAATTTTCTTTGATTTTGTCAAAATATAGAGAAAATTAGTCAAAACACAAAGAATTTTATGAATAAATCAGAAAAATTTTAACTCAGAGAAATTTTAAAATACAGAGAAAATTTCAAAACACAGAGAAAATGAGTGAAATTGAGTAAACCAGAGAAATTTCAAAGCACAGACATGCTTGAAATTTGTCCGTGTTTTGAAATTTCTCTAAATCAAAATTTCTGTAGAAAAATATTGAGGGATCCCAAACACTATGAAAATATTGCATACCCTTTATCCTATAAAATGACCTTAAAAAAAAATTTCCTTATAAAAAATTTATAAAAATGTATTTCTTACTAAATTTTTTTTAGGGTAAATTATACTAACATTCCTTGATGTTTGGAAAAAAATATAAGTAGTGTTACAAACTTACAATATTGACATAATTATACCAAACTCTCTTTTAATAAGGCTAAAAGAATCGAAATTAAAGCAAATAGTGTAAATGGACAAAGATAAACGAATAAAAATATACATTGAAATTAAAAAGATATGACAATATCATATTTTTATCTATATAACTATATAATTATTAATGAAAATGAAACTAAGCGTTATATAAATTAAAATTTTTTATGTGAATATAAATTAAAACTTAAAAAAAAAATCCATTATAATTGTATTAAAATTATGAAATTGCTGTAATTTTTTAAAAAAATTCAAGTGAAGTCAACGTAATTTACCCATTTAATTATTACTTTTGATAAAAGCAAAACATGAGATTTTAGGATGTTTCCTTCTCACCATTTCTCTTCCCTTTAATCATACAAATAAGGGGTGAGATATCGCTCTCAATTTTTTATTTTTTTTTCTTTATCAAATCAAACTACTTAATCCAAATGGGTTGTTAAAACCAGTTAAAAAAAAAAAAAAAAAAAGTTGTTAAAAAAAATTAAAAAAGTGAGAAAAATTGGGTTGGATGTTTAGAACAAGTGTTGATCAATTTCTTTGGATTAAAAAAAAAAAGAGAAAAGGTTTTACTAGGTTTGGGTTTTGTGAAGAAAAGAAGAGGTCTGCAACAATGGCTTCATCTTTCCAAGTTGCTACGCTCATGGCTTCACCGTCTTGTCCCAATGTCGATGCTTGGTTAGACAAGAACTTGGTTACTTTTTCTTATGAAAACATCCAAAAAACAGAAGTAAAATATTTATATAATAATGATGTTAATGATAATAGTAAGTTTTGGTGGGGTGGATTAGAGTTTTGGAATAAGGAAAAAGATGAAGAAAAAATAATTGAAACTTGGAGAAGAAGATAAAGAGAGTTGAATATGAAGAATGTGGTTTAGGTATATCATAAGAAGAAGAAAAAAATATTTTAGGGTTTAATATATGAGAGGGAGATTTATGATCTGGAATTGGGCCGAGGCAACGGCCGAGCGAGTTGAGAGCCTAATGGTGCATGGGGTCGAGATGATCGGCGATCCGCCCGGAGATGGGCTGCCAGGAGTTGGGCCAAGCATGTGCCGCCCCAGACCGTAAAGAAGCTGCTCGGCATGGCAGTGCTCGGTTGGGCCGAGCTGCTTGATCAGGCGATGGTGGAGCCAGTCAAGCTTAATGACCGGCGCCCGGAAAGGCGTGGTCAGCCGAGGTAATCGTTTAATCGGCAGGAAGGCCGACCGCAGGAGATGCCCCGGGCTAGGCTTTGCCGAGATGTCGCCTAGCTCGGTCCTCCTTGGGCTTAGCCCGTGAAGTGCTTGGGTATGAAGCACAGCACGGCCGTGGATAGAGAAGCTCGGCTGCTGAGCTCCAGCTGAGAAGGGAGGCAGTTGAGATTAGGTGATATTCAGCAAGGTTTATGCTGACAGATGGGATAGCGGAGCCACGTGTCAGGAGATGACTGAGAGTGGATATGGGGCGCAGAGGGTATATAAGCATGTCTGCGCCCTCCATACGCAGATAGACGAACACTTTGTAAGAAAACTCCTACGCTAAAATACTCCTCTCTCTCTCTCTCTCTCTCTGTCCTAAGGTGTGTGCTAACTTGATCGTCGGAGGGTTTTTCCGGCCACACACCGCCGGGTAGCTCACTGTTATTTGCTCGCAGGTGATCGGACAGAAACGGAGCTCGGAAGAAAGGAGTACGGGCTTGCCGGAATATTTGCTCCCCGTACAATTGGCGCCGTCTGTGGGAACTTGACAGACAAAACCTTGTCTTCCAGGTTCATCTGATCGCCGTCCATGGCGAACAACGACGAGTTTCCGTTGTTTGCCATAGACGGAGCCACCCTGGAGTTCACCCAAAGGAGAGAAGGTCCTCCCGCCATCCATCCAATGGCGGACTTG